TTCTATCTGCTTGCCAACGTCTGTGGCTGTGTTCACCAAGATGTCTTAATGCAGATGACGGTCGCACTAAACCCATTCCAAGGAAAGGTATGGTGGACAACTTCGAGCCTTCTGACAACAAGTGTCTGCTAAGAGCTACTGATGGGAAAAGGAAGATCAGCACCGTGGTAAGCTGGAGTTGGAAAACTACATGTACAGTTTAGGACTTTGTTGCTGTTAGGATTTGAACTGCATGCCTTTGGGTTGGTAGTGTAGCTCCTTACTAGTATGGGACTACAACTGCGTGTGTATATATTGTGGTTGTGGATTTTTCTACAACCGTACATGCAGTAGGGCACATAGGGGGCACAATTATGGAAACTTTAGACATAACCAGACACTCGGTGGGACTGAGCTATTGGGCTTGAGGCCATAGGACCATAGTCTTGGGGGGACATCTAGATTAATTGCCCTAACATAGTACATAAAGACAATGTTCTGTATTCTAGTTTGCTGAGTAGTGTCTAGGATCTTAGAAACTTGGCACCATCTAAGGTACAGCTGTTGATCATTTTTTTACCTGGAGCAAAGGAGAGTGAAGAAAATGGAAGACTCAAGCAAGGAAGCAATTGGTCTAAAAGTGGGCAGGAACCTCAGCCTCCTCTGTCTAGCCTGAGAGCAGAGAAACTGGATAGTGCCTGGCTACCACTACTAACTCTTCTGACCAGGGACACAGAAGATGGCCCGTGTTAGAATGGGAGGAAAACATAGGACCAGACTCAAATTCATTAAAAATCAGACTTACTGGTTTGAACTGGAGGAACTCTAAGTCCAATTGTCCTAAGCCATGACACTGATTAAACTGATTAAAAAATTACACTTGTGAAGAATGTAGCAACTTAGAACTCTGTGAAACCAAAAGGGCAACATTTGCCCCAAAAGAAAGATGAGAAGGCGGGGAAAGCCAGGGAAACCAACAAATAGGGAACTCAGGGTGGAAATGAGAAGAGTGCTGACATCAAGGTCACATAACAATTTGTGTATAGATCACTGAATGGAAACTAACTTGCTGTGTAAACTTTAAAGTTTTGAGCTCTGGTGACCTAGTGGTTAAGAAACTAGAGCATCTCAAAGGCACGTGGTTTGAATCTGCCAGCTGCTTCATGGGACAAGGACGGACAGTCTCCTCCCGTATGATTTACTGCCCCTGAAAACCCTCTGGAGGGTGAGCTGTGGGTCGGTTCTGACTCAGAAACACACCACAACAACAAACTTTAAAGCATAGCAAACTGTTAAAAAAAACAATTATCAAATACTTGTTAATTCTGATAAAATATTTGTGGAAATAAAGATAACTGTAAGGAATAGTTGGCATGGATATTCCTTATGCCTGAACTGTGCTGGGCCTCCAGTAACAGTTAATTACTACTAAATGATGCTTTTTAAGCTTTTAATAAATATGTAGCCAGCCGTGTGGTTAGGCTTGGTACCTAAGAGATCAGAATATAAGGCCCTAGTTGTCACTTTCATACGGAGTTTGAATATGGGCAAGCAAGAGATTCCCTGGATTCCAAATGAGTGCTTTACTGTGCTGGGGCAGAAACAGACCACTCTCTGATTACATTAACATAGGATATACATGAGAATTATTAGTTATTAGAATTACCAATTCTAGAATTATCATAATTAGTTAAATCTCCTTTTTATATATAAGGAGGGAGCTCTGGGGGCCCATTGGTAAGAAGCTGGACTCCTGTTCCAAAAAGCTCATGGTTGAAATCCACCAGCAGCTCTGCAGGAGGATAGGCAGTCTCCTCTCAGGTGACTTACTGCCTCGGAAAACCCACTGGAGAGTCAGCTATGAGTCGGTTCCAACTCGATGGTACATGCAGTAACAACTCCCTTTATAAGTTACCTTGAGAAGTTTTATGGTGAAACAAGCTGATGTTGTTATGTGCCGTCGAGTTGCTTGCGACTCATAGCGACCCTATGTACAACAGTCCTAAACTCTGCTCTGTCCTGTGCCAATCTCACTGTCTCCGACACACTCATCCTGATTGCCCCAGTCATTGAATCAATCCATCTCCCAGAGGGCCTTCCCCTCCTGCGCCTGCCCTCCACCCTCCCAAGCATGATGTCCTTCTCCAAGGACCCTCCTTACAACATGACCAAAGTATGTCAGATGAAGCTTCAGAATCCTTGCCTCCAAGGAGCAGCCTGGTTTAAACCTCTCCAGGATAAATCTGTTTGCTTTCTTAGCAGTCCATGGCACCCTCAGGACTCTTCTCCAACACCAAAGCTCAAAAGCATCAATTCTCCTATCTAAATTTAGTATCATGAAATAGTAAAGGAATCTTCTTCAGAGGTAGAATTTGTTTTTGTGGAAGCCTGTTTTTTTGCTTAGATGGACCTAAATAAGCAGAGGGTAAGTTTAAGATGAGGAGAGGATAATTTAAATGTTTTAATTTTGATGAAAAAATGTTAAGTCTGACATCACTCAGAACCGAAGGAGAAAGCTCATTACCAAATGTATAAGGGATTTCAACATCTGAAGAGCAGCATGGCTCCGTTAGATGCCCACTTTGCCTCTTTGCAGTCTTGTATAGGAAAAGGCCAGAGAGCCTATTTGCTTGTTCCTCACACTCCTGAAATTGGGAACATGTATTTTATTTGGCTTTTGAGATATTATCTAGGGTGGAGCAGAGAGTTCTTAAAGGGATAACAAGTGATTTTTCTTGTTTTTCAGGTAAGCTCCAAAGAAGTGAATAAGTTCCAGATGGTGAGTTTCTGGTCTTCTCTATGTCTGCCTTCTCAGGGCAAGCATAGGCACAGTATTGACCGTGCTAGGTTATGGCTATTTGCATTCACAGTTCTTCCTTGATAACTTTTATACCAAGCAAGAAGTTGCCAGGACATGAGTTCCACTTTCAGCACAAATACTGTTTTCAAGTTAGATTTTATTACTCTAGGATATGGATATACTCTGTGCATAGTATATAGTTGAATAAAACGTCGCCTATAGTCTCCCCTCTTAAAAAAAATGTTAAAACACAATTCATGTAGTGTTGCCAAGGCTGTTATAATGTGAAAGAGTGACTTCCTCTCACATGATTTTCCTTAAAATGTAGCGTCTAATGGTATATTGTTATCAGGTAGACCTTCTGATTGCGGCCACATTGACCACCCATCTGGCAGTTTGTGGTACTGTGATGGCCTGTGGGATCCTGGAAGCTATGCCAGCAGTATTTCAAATACTAACAGAAAGGGGTATTTCCAGAGGTCATATATGGTAGACCTGTTTCAGTGCAGTTTCTGAACTAAGATGAAATAGGAAAAGAGCAATACTATTTCTGAAAATTGGTCACCAAAAAGTCTGTGAATCACAGCTAAACATTGCAGTGTCCAGTATAGCGCTGGAAGAGGAGCTTCCTGTGTTGGAAGGCACTTGGATACTTGGTGGTCTCAACGAACGGTCTTGAATATGTCTGTGATCATGAAGATGGCACAGGACCATGTGCTGTTGAACCTCTGTTGCCATGAGACATTGACTCAAAAGGGCAACTAACAGCAGCAGCAACAGAGTTTACTAGGGAAGTGAATCGGCTGCTCCACTGATGTGTGACGACTCCTGATCAGATCATGCTTTCTCTCCACAGGCTTACTCTAACTTACTCAGAGCTAACATGGATGGTCTGAAGAAGAGGGACAAAAAGAGTAAGAGTAAGAAGAGCAAAGCAGCACAGTGAAGGGTGCCGTACTTCTACCGTCACCACCTAGCCACTGAATTGCTGGATTTTTTTACTTTTGTCCACTAAGCTAGGCTTTTGGCTCCCCAGTGGTGGCTATTTTCTTAAGATACTTGCTTATTTTGGAGGGAAGAAGGGCAGAAGAAGGGGTTCAGTGTTTACAGGGTAGTTGCAGTAAGAAGCCAGTTTATGCTAGACCTCTGACTTGACTGGTTTTTACTGAATGCTGTTTTAGAATAAAACAAAGTCTCTGCAGACATCTGTGTGAAGAGCAATGTATCATTAAACATATCTGTTTATCAGCACCAATTGTTCCTTTTTGATTTCTTTTCCTACCCCATTTTAATAGTTTCTGGAAGTAACTACTGACTCTGGAATGATAAGAATAATGATGATGGGCTTGGCCTTGGCTTTCAGGTTGTTGGAACTGGGAGCTATCAGTTTTCCAAAATATGTTATTTCATGGTTTGTGTAATTGGATTCCATTAGCAAGAGTGAGTTTTCATGAAAGTGAGTTACATGAAAGCTCTGCTTAATATATTTAGAGTTTGTACTGTTAGTTGTGGCTGAGCTGATTTTTTACTCTGACTGGGACAGTAGGACTGTGCCCATAGGGGTTTCCTAGACTGTGATCTCTAAGGAGGAGCTTTGGTGGCCTGGTACTAAGGATTGTATGGCCAACTGAAAGAAAGCAGATGGACTGAACCCACCTGCTTTGTGGGAGAAAGATGGGCAGTCTCCTCCACTGTGACTTACAGTTTCTGAAAACCCTCTGGAGAATCAGCTGTGAGCTGGTTCTGATGCCATGGCATAAAACAATAGTCTTTAAAGGGAGCAGATCACCAGATCAGCATTTTGAATACTTAGCTGTCGTGCTTCCAGGGCACCTTTCCTTAGGATAATTAAAAAAAAACACAACCAAACCAAAAACAAAACAAAACAAAAAAAACATTACAAATGAAGGTTTTGATGATTTTTTTGTTTCCTTATGCCTTTTAGTTTGGACATTTTTATATGTCCAAATCATTAGGACTCTGGGAAGAACAAGACTTGTGTTCAGGCTCGAAGAACTTTCAGTGTTAAGAGATCTGCAATTAAAAAGCAGAAGGTATACAAAAGCATTTATTCAAAAAGATAAATTACACATGAAAAACCGACAAAGTTCAACTTTGTAGGACAGCTTCTTAGAATTCAAAGTTAATTTAAAATAATGAATGTATAACATTCCATGGTAAAGGCCCCTGTCTGAAATAATGCAACGGCAATGTTTTAGGGCTAAAATAAGATTCTGTAGTAGTCATCTCTGTAGCTATACAGGAATAGCACAGACACTCTGGAAAAGAAAAGAAAAAGTAAATTACAAGGACAGCCATTTGTGAAGAACAGTTAGCTAAACTTTTTGGAACACTGATTACATCCCACTTAACTGTAGGAACTTAAGTGGAAACTAGATAGAAGGTGGGCCTCTGATAAATAAACCAAAACAAGATGCTGTCACAGGCCTGGCTTGAGTTCTATCCCACATGACTCAAAAATCAAAACCATTGCTGTCAGTTGGAACTTAGACAACCCTATAGGACAGAGGAGAAACTTCATAGGATTTCCAAAGCTGTAAATCTTTCCACAAGCAGATTGTCATGTGTCATGTCTTCCCCCAGAAGAGCAGCCAATGGGTTTAACTGCGAACTTCTCAGTTAGCAATTAAGTGCTTTAACCCTATGCCACCAGGATTTCCAACCCATGTGAAAGCTACTCCCAAGTGATAACTTACTTTTTTTCTACTTTGATGTTATAAATTTCATCACAGACTAATTTGAGGTATCTCTGCTTTGGCAGGTGTGACAGCAGCTGTTTCACAGTTGTGTTAAATGCCTGTTCATCAGCATCCCACTAGGAAAAAAGAAACAGGACTTAAAAGCAAGGCACTGGGGTTTATGAACTCACTATTTCTGGGTCTTTAATGAAATGCCAGTGCTTTCTCCCATCAAGTGTATCAGAAGCAATCAGTTCTAGGGAAGCAGGAGAAGTGGCGGGGAGACTGCAGCTATGGTTGCTTCCTTTGAGGCATCATTTTCTTTCAAACAAGCCTGCCTTAGTAGAGCCTGATTAATGGCATCTCAGCCTTGGTGTGCAATGTAATTTAAGAACAGTTTTTGCTGCTATCTCATTTGTGCATAATGGGGATACTGCCACTAATGTGTATCATTTGTGTGGATCATAAGCCAACAAATTGCCACTGTAGCCATGTAAGCCTATTTGTAAATCAACAACAGATAATGTATTATGAAATGTTCTGGGGCAGGTCCTCCCCCTCCCAGTTTAATCTGGGAGTAACTGCAGGATAGACAAGAAGAATGTTCTTTGATATGGCATGTTGCAAAGACTGCGCTGTAGTTGTAGCTACAATTCTAGTTAAGCATTCTTAACAACAAAGGGGACTTTCAAATTTCTGAATGTTCTTATTAGGCTATTTGATGATAAGCCTTTGTAGCCTTGGGGTTAAAAAAAACCCTTAATTTTAACAAAAGGCTCTTCTCTATAGTTATTCATTCTAACATTCCAACTGGAATGCTTAGAGGCAGCATAGTAAAATGGCTAAGAACCCAGATTTCATCAGTCTGCCTAGGTTGGAATCCTGGCTCTGTTTTTAGCTGGGTGAGATTTGTGAAATATTTAATCTCTGCTTCCATTGTCTTGTCCATAAAACAGAACCTATTAATAACATTAGCCTCTAGGAATTATGATAATTAAATGGATTCGTATTTATAATTGCTTTGCAGAATCTGATACATATATTTAAAAAGCACTATGAATTTGTTAAATAAGAAAGGGGCTCTGAAATGAAAAAAAAGTGAAAAGTATGATCTCCCCTACCTGCCCTGCCTCCACAATTTAGTGATGATGTCTTACATAAAAGGAATGATGACAATGTAACTAAATTCTTGAGACTTCCAGCAAAACACTATTAACCAAGAAAAATCAGTTCCCTTTTCAATTTTCTTAAGCAAATTGGCAGCAGATACTTGGGATCTTACAGGCTACAGTGTATAAGTGTCAGTCTTACCTCCAATGATAAAAACTGTAAGATTGTGTCTTTGGGTAGATCCACCTGTCAACACAGATAATGCACATCACTTATCAAAGAACTCCAGGGACTCTGCACATATTGTGACTATGTTATCATTTTGGATGGAACAGTATGTCAGGCAGAGCCTGGGAAGCCAATGTGCTATACAACAAACAATGAATCCTTGATACAATAAGATCTCAGCATTGGTGAACTGGTAACTGATGGAAACTGCTGTCACTGTCACCACATACTGAACCTCAGAGGTTTGACACTGCTGTATGAATTTAGGCTTGGTTAAGAAGCATTGAGAAAAAGGAATTTTCTTTTTCTTCTCTCCTCTCTTAACCCCATCTTCCTGAGAAAGAAAGTAGGAGAAACAAAAACAAAAGCTCTTCAACTTTTCCCAAGTTTACAGGTTTACATTGCAGGTAGCTCAGAATAGTGACATGGCTGAAACCAAAATACTGCCGACACTGAGCAAAAGAGCCTTGAACTCAGGAAGATGCAGAGAGAACAGAAGCTGTCCTCGGAACATCAAAGGAAACAACTTACAGCCAAAATTTCAATTTCGCTGCTTTTCTGATGTAAGTTGGCAAGGGTGGTCTGGAGTCGAGTTTGTACCTAATAAAAGGAAAACAGAATTCAGAACATGCCAAACCAAGCCATCTTTCTTGCCATCATACGTTGCAGGAAGCAATCACAGGGTGGCAACCCAGGAACTTAAAAGAGATTCTACATATTATCTAAAGATTGGCTCTTGATCTGCCTCAGAAAAAAGGATGTCTAGCTCATTATGATCTGAGGGGAAATATGATTTTCTAATCTGTCTTGTTCTTTGGTGATGTAGGGAGCTCAGGTGGCATGGTCCGTAGAGAGCTGTGCCCAAAGGCTACACTGCTCTGGCAGTTCAAATCAACCAGCAGCTCCTTGGGAGAAAGATTGGCAATCTCTGTGATTTACAGCCTTGAAAACCCAAAGGAGGTTTTGCTATGATATGGTTCTGATTCCACAGTTAGGAGACTGAAGTTTTTGGGTTGATCATGTGTACTAACCTTTTTGTTGCTTGCTTCTTTATATATTTGAAACAAAACCTACTAAAGGCTTGGTGCACTGAAAGTGTGTTTGGAAGCAGGGAGATTGTACTAAATTAGAACACAGAAGTGAAATAGGTTATAGAAGCTGAAGGAGGACACAGAAAATGGGTTAGACAGCCTAAAAAAATTAGGTACTGATGTTTTGTGTTTCCATCTAACCTGGATTTCTGGATAAAGTCTGTTCTCTTAGACATAGCACCCCTTGGTACGATTGGCCCGTGTCCAGCCTGTGCTGATTAGCGGTCTGCAGCACCTTTTCTCCTCCTCCCTCCTGTTTGCACTACCCTCATCTATCTTTCTTACCCATTTAAATCCTTCAGGGATCACTTTTCTAGATTATCCATATGAACACACATCCCAGTCTTTTCCATCGCACAGTCTAACACTCAATATACTTAATTCGGCATGCTATTGATTATTCTCTATATAATACATATACTTCTAAGGTCAGGAGCTCGTCAAGGGCTGGGGCTGTTTTACCTAGCACTCAGCAAGAGCATCAGGCACTGAAGCAGATACTAATACTGTGTGAGAAACTTGCCTCAAGTCTTTATGGTAGGTTTCTTCTGCTTTGTTATTTAAAACAAATCAACCCTTAATCTGCCTTTAGAGCCAGCCTGAAAACTTTTTGTGACCAAACAGGGCAGTCTGACAAATAGCTGCTTCTGGTGCGTGCAGTACACACTGATGCCTCTAGAAGAGGGATGGGACAGAATCTTGGCACCAGAGAGATGCTTTGTGTTGATGAAAATTTAAGAAGTCACCAAGTGAGGGGAGTGGGGGGAAATAATTTCCAGGAAAGTTTGTGTTTCTTATTTTCTTCCCTATTTACTCTTTCCTCTGCAGCCCTCATTAGGAAACCAAGGAGCCCTGGCCAGAGTACCTGGGTTTCATAGCGCCTCCTAGTGCTGGCTGACAGCTTCTCTGGTGCAATCACACTCACATTGGGAATAACTGTTGTTCCGTGGATCTCAAACAAACCTGAAACAGACATAGAGCTTCTAAGTGTATGGCCTTTCTGGTCCCTTTTCTATACACACCACAGAGATGGTGGAGTTTATTAGATAGAACCCATCCTGCCATGATTCCAAAGCTAGAAAGCATCTGGTTTTGTTTGTTTTTTTTCTATCTCTCTGACCCAGGAGGAACCCAGAACCCTAAACCCAGGTATTGTGATGTTCTGTCAAGATTTCCAGCCTTTATCCTCAAGTAAGAATGGGGGACCATCAAGGTGGAGGGAGGTAATATTAATCACTGAAGCCTCATGAACCAAAGAAAAAAAGAAAACTTTTGTTATCTGGCTAGTATTTTTGAAAGCTTCTTCAAAGCATTTAAAATATGATGATAGAACAAAGTCAATGCTAACAGAATTGAACCCACAAGACCCAGTTATGTTAGTTGTAAAAATCAAATACGTCTTCATGTGTATTTGGGACACTTCCACCACCTCCTCCCCGCCCCCCCCAAAGGTTGGAAGAGGTGAAGATATGAAAAGCATTAACATCACAATTTATTTTACTGTTTTCATAAAGACATTGTATAGACGTATCTTTCTCCAAGTGTTATCTTTTAAAACACTTTCCCCCCCATATTCTGTATTGGATAATGTCTAGCAAAATTGCTTTTACTTTATACAATAAAAGAGAGGGAGATTATAAACCACTGGTAAAAAAAGACTATAATAGAGATCAAAAGGATTAATGTAACTCCCAGTCTTTTCATCATTTTCTTGCATGTGGGTTTCAAAACATAATGGTAAATTTAATTTGAGATAATTTATTAGATAAATATTATTGTGACTTTAAAACATTTCTGATATAACAAGGAGTTAGCCACAGTTGTTAAGTGCTGAGAACAAACATACATAAGTGACAAACAGACATCATTATGTCAAGATTATAATTAGTAATTATACCTGAAGCATTAGAAAATGACCCCTTCAGATTTTGCACTGCAAGATTATCAGAAGCTTCTCTAAAAACAAGCAAACAAAACCAATTAGGAAACAGTCAATAGGCAGAAGCAACACAGATAACTTACATCGAGCTTAACAGTGAGCCATTCTTTCCCATTAAATATGGAAATCCATTCTTTTTGGTTATTAGTTGGAAGAAAAATAAAACATACCTCATAACAAAAAACTGGCACTTGGTTAAGATTTTGGTCAAGAGTAAGTAAACAATTACAGAAAATGCCATGCCAAGTTAACAAATGGCCAAAGAAAACACACTGACTTCTTCACCTGGATTTGCAATCCTGGCTCAACATGAGAAGCTAAGGTAATGAAATGTAATGGGCGTTCTTTCTGCTTGCTTACAGTACGAGAAAACAAGAGTGACACTACTGCCTGGCCGCTTGGAGGAACAGCCTCAGGAAAACAATTTGTAAATAAGGAGATCATCTCAAAAGCTGTGAATGGATGTTCTCCTAAATAGTATAAATTATAGTCTATTAATTTAGTGTTCTATCTTGAGAGTACAGAGAAATAAGCATTCACATTAAGGAAAAGATTCTGAACCTTTCTCCGGTAAAAATAAAAATCTGTATTTTCAGTTTTTTAATAATATTCCCCTGTACTATTAATGAGTTGCCCTTGCCTCAGCTCCCTAAATCTGTCTTTGGTTTGTATCTACAGTTTTGCAATGGAGGACTACAAGAACATTACATTTCCTCTGAAAAAGCCCGATAGTGAATTTATCCAAGAGAGAGATAAATGAGAAGGGGCGGGGGCTGAGGAGGAAGAACACAGCAAAGACTTTTACTTTCTAAGTCAGGATTTCTCAATCACAGTTTTATTGATATTTTAGGCCAGCCAGTTCTTTGTTGAGGGTGCAGCCCTATGCATTGTACAATGCCCAGCAGCACTCCAGACCTCTAACCATTAGATGTCAGGAAGACACCCTGGTTGTGACATCCAAAAAACGCTTCCAGATTTTGCTAAATGATTCTGATGGAGCAAAACCACTTTGGTTGAGAATCCCTGATTCTCTTTCCCTTCATCCAATTTATACGCACCCCCCTCCCTTTTCTTAATTTAAGTGAAGGTTTACAAATCACAATGAATTAATTTTTAATTCCTAAACTTTCATAGTGTGAAAGTTATTGAGTGGTGTGTTTTCTGATTTGAGCACCTATGTATGTGTTAAAATACACAGAAGATGAAAGAAAAAACTTGAGATCTGTCATATTAGCTCGCATTAACCTATAATTGAAAACTTGGTACATCCTTCCAGATGTATCTCTATGTATATGCTGTATATTTTGACTAAAACAAAAATGGGATATCATATATTCTTTTTGTAGACATTCTTCTATGTTAATAAAATCAGCTTTACTAGAATCATAATTTTTAAAGGCTGTACAGTTTCTCACAATTTAAATAATGTTCTACTAGAGCATAGTTTAATTTTTCCAACCAGAGATTATCAAAGTGTGATGTAGGGACCTCTGAAGGGTCCAGATATACTTCTGGGGGGATCCATAAGGCCAAAACTATTTTCATAATTACCCTGAAGCAGTCTCTGCCTTTTTTGTTCTTATGTAGAGTGAAATTTTCCAGAGACTATATGGTATGTGCTATTACAGCAGATTTAGAAGCAGACATGAGAATCTAGTTGTCTTCTATTAAGGTATTAAAGAGATTACAAAAAATGCTAAATAATACCTTTTCAACCAGTATGCAGAACAGATTATCTGAGAGGCTGGGCTCTATGAGGAGAAATGTGGGGTCAAGATTGGTGGAAGATCTATCAACAATGTGCGTTATGCAGATGACACAACCCTGCTTCCTGAAACTGAGGAGGACCTGATACGCTTGCTGCAGAAGGTCAAGGACTGCAGCCTTCAGTATGGATTGAGGCTCAATGTCAATAAGACAAAGATTCTCACCACTGGACCAATTGGCAGCATCAGGATGGATAGTGAAGAGATTGAGATTGTTAACAACTTTAGTCTGCTTGACTCCATGGTCAACACTCTTGGCACCAGTAGCCAGGAAATAAAAAAATGTATTGTGATGGGAAAGTCTGCTGTTAGGGACCTCTCCTAAGTACTGAAGAGCAATGGTGTCTCTCTGGAGACTAAGGTGCATCTGATACAAGCCGTAGTCTTTGCAATCACTTATTATGCATCAGAGAGTTGGACAATGACTAGGGAGGATAGAAGGAGAATTGATGCCTTTGAGCTGTCGTGCTGGAGAAGAGTGTTGAGGGTACCATGGAAACAAAAAGATTCATCCCGGAGAGGGTTAAACCAGGCTGCTCCTTGGAGGCAAGGATTCTGGGGCTTCGTCTGACATACTCTGGACATGTAAGGAGGGACAGGTCCTTGGAGAGGGATATATCATGCTTGGGAGGGTGGAGGGACGGCGCAGAAGGGGAAGGCCCTCTATGAGGTAGATTGATTCAGTGACTGGGGTAATTGGGATGGGTGTGTCAGAGGCAGTGCGGTTGGCACAGGACAGAGCAGGGTTTAGGGCTGTTGTACATAGGGTCGCTATGAGTCGCAAGCGACTTGATAGCACATAATAACAACAACAATGCATTTAAGACACTTGTGAAATATGTGAAACAATTTTGTTCTTAGTAAATTTACTTTGTCTGGAAAATAGTTGTTTTTCATGAAAAATGTTATTTACGTTAATATGTAATGGATTTACTGTTATTTGAAAATGAGTATGTAACTAGGTATGTTTCAATTTAAATACCTAGTACAGAGAGAATACTTATATAACTCACATAAACAAAAGTTCTTTGGGAAAAAAAAAAGAAAAGAAAAAAAAAGTTCTTTGGGGTCCTTAATAACATTAAGTGTTATGGGGGCCTCAGACCACAGAGTTTTAGAAGTGTTGTTATAAACAATGCCTCAATAGATATTTTTATATATAGCTCTATGGGATAATTTTTACAGTAAATTCCATTTTTTTCCTCTTTATTTGAGTGAGAGTTTAAAAAAAATCATACTTGTTTTTCATTCATATACATTTTCTTTTATAACACTGTAATTATAATTTCATTGGATCATTCACTAACATTTTATTTGCAACACTAATTACTATTAATGTAATGTAATGTCTAATTAATTTCTTGTTATATATTATCTTTCCCTTCACCCAACTTATATATTAATTTTTTTGAGTGAAGTTATATAAATCACATTGTTTCTTCATTCATAGACTTTGTTTAATAGAATTATCATTGATTAATATGTTTAATTTATTATAATATCCAAACAACATCTTATTGTGTGTTTCATTTCCCTTCAATCAACTTAAATATTTTAGAATAAATTATTGAAAGTGAAATTACTGGATGAATTTGATATTTTCTTCTCAATTTTAAAGTTTTTAATTTATTTTGCTAAATTTCTGTTCAGATGGTTGAACCAATTTATACTATGAGTATATAAAATCTTTTCATAGAACATAATATTGCTAAAATTATACTGACAAAAATATTTTTCTAATTCATTGACTAATAGATGGAAGATGATGATTGTAGGTAGGTTTTGATTTCTTAGGTTTTAAAAAAAAATAGTCTTTGAATGTTGAAGAACAAACATTAAAAAGAAGTCAGTCTTATTTAAGGGTTCATTTAATTAAGTGAGAAAGCAGAGACCTCATTATGTAGTGGGTAGGGTTTGCCTGCTAACCAAAAGGTTGGCAGTTCAAATTTATCAGTTACATCAGGGAGGAAAGGTGTAGCTGTTAAGTGTTCTGAGAAACTGAATAGCCTATTAAAAGTTATCTTGACCTATCTTTAATGCCCAGATGGATCCAAATGACTTTAAAAATAAATGGGTGTAGGTTCTATATAGTCACAGTTGATTTTCCACAAGCTTTTTTTTTTTAATTCAAGTTACCTGATATTCCTTTCGTCACTGACTTTTGTCCTCAGTTTCTGAAGCACATGGTCCACAAGATCAGACTCCAGCACACGTTTCTCAGTTTGCCTGTCCTTCTCAAAAGACTTAACCTTGAAAATAAACAAATAGATTCATTATTTGGAGGATTCCATCATGAAAAGTCTAGGTGAGAGTACTACTAAAACAACAACAAAGACTAGTGATTTTTCCCTAAGGGAGACATCTGTTAAAGTTTGGAGGTATTTTTGGTGGTTACAACTGTAGAGAGTGCAAAAGGTATCTCATGGGTAGAGATGAAGATGCTGCTAACTATCCTTCATTTAATGAACTAGCCCAAAGGTAAAAGCATGACCGTTGAGAAATCCTGTTGTTGTAATGTGCTGTCGAGTCACTTGCGACGCATAGCGACCCTATGTACAACAGCCCTAAACTCTGCTCTGTCCTGTACCAATCTCACTGTCTCCAATACACCCATCCCCATTACCCCAGTCACTGTATCAATCCACCTCATAGAGGGTTTTCCCCTCCTGCGCTGTCCCTCTACCCTCCCAAGCATGATGTCCCTCTCCAAGGACCTGTCCCTCCTTACAACATGTCCAGAGTATGTCAGACAAAGCCCCAGAATCCTTGCCTCCAAGGAGCAGCCTGGTTTAACCCTCTCCAGGATGAATCTGTTTGTTTTCTTGGCAGTCCATGGTACCCTCAACACTCTTCTCCAGCATGACAGCTCAAAGGCATCAATTCTCCTTCTATCCTCCCTAGTCACTGTCCAACTCTCTGACATATAACAAGTGACTGCAAAGACCATGGCCTATATCAGATGCACCTTAGTCTCCAGAGAGACACCCTTGTTCTTCAGTACTTTGGAGAGGTCCCTAACAGCAGACTTTCCCATGGCAATATGTCTTTTAATTTCCTGGCTACTGGTGCCAAGAGTGTTGACTGTGGAGCCAAGCAAACTAAAGCTGTGAACAATCTCAATCTCTTCACCATCCATCCTGATGCTGCCAATTGGTCTAGTGGTGAGAATCTTTGTCATCTTGACATCCTCAATCCATCCTGAAGGCTGCAGTCCTTGACCCTCTGTAGCAAGCACTTCAGGTCCTCCCCAGTTTCAGCAAGCAGGGTTGTGTCATCTGCATAACGCAGATTGTTGATAGATCTTCACCAATCCTGATGCCGCATTTCTCCTCATAGAGCCCAGCCTCCTGGATAATCTGTTCTGCATATAGGTTGAAAAGGTATGGAGACAGGACACATCCCTGGCATACGCCCTTCCCAATTTTGAACCATGCTAGAATAATTTATCATTAGTGACAGAAGTTAAAAACAGGCCAAGATGATCCAGCTCCTATTTTATATTTCATCTGTTCACATATTCTTCCCTTTAAATACCCTCTGGTCAGTGGCCAGTATGTGGCAACAATCTACAATATTAGACAAGAAGTGAGGACTATGATCCCTGAGAAAAGGGAAACAAACAAAATGAACCAATTCCATGATCCTTTGTACTGTCTGGAGGCAATTTCCGGATCACAGTGTAGGGACAGCGAACCTAAACAGAGCCCAGAAGACTCACTGAATTGAGGAAACCTAGTTAGGGAAGCCAATATGGCTAGAAACTGTGGAGCAGAGGAAGGAAGAGGAGAGAGCTACACTCTCAGATAAAGACTGCGGAAGCTCTGCAGAGGAATCCTCTTGTCTTTTCACAGCCACTCACTGCCATCGAGTTGGAATGTATTCACAGCCAACTCTCCAGCAGGTTTTCAGAGGCTGTAAATCACACAGGAGAAGATGACCCATCATTTTCCTAAGGAACAGTTGGTAGAGTCAATCACCCCCCCTTTGGACTGATGGACTAACTACACCCTTCCGTGCTCACTAGGTCACCAGAGCTCCCTGTCTTTAGTTAAGTACTAATATATGCACAGGTGAGAGGAAACTACCCAAGGTCAGGGAAACAGTCACTAGAAACAGGTAGGGAGGATAATTTCTAGAACTCACAGAATTGGGAGTAGAGTGAAGAGACTTTGTAACACACAGAGCATCATACAGATTTGTCCAAAGGGAACTGCTGTTGTTGTTACGTACTATGGAGTAGGAACTGACTCACAGCTGACCCTCTAGCAGGTTTTCAGAGGCGGTAAATTACACCAGAGGAGACTGCCCTTCAGTCTCCCGTGGAGTAGCTGGTGGATTTGGACTGTGTGCCTTTGGTATTGTAGTGCAACTCCTAACCCACTAAGGCATCTATTTAGCACTAAAAGCTGCCTTGAACCTGCCTTAACAAAGCTTAAAATCAAGACTGTAAAGTATTAAATAGAATCTAAGGATTTTAACCACATTCCAGAACAAAGCCCAACAGTATTTATAAGAATACAAGAAAAACTAGCACTTAACTATGTAAAATTCATAATGTGCAACAATCAATAAAAAACTGACTCTAATCACTATCAATCAATAGAAACAGACCTGGAAATGCTAGAGATAATGGAAGGAGACAATTACTTTAAACAATGATCACTTCACTAAAGGATATAAAGGATGCATGAACCACGAAGAAATAAATAGAAGATAGATTGAAAATAAAAAAAAGTATCTGAAATGAAAAATTCACTGGATAGAATTAAAAGCATATTAGATATTTCAGAAGAAAGGATGAGTTATTTAAAACAAAAGAGAAAAATATAAAAATTTCAAACTACCAGATAGAAAACGGGAGGTTTGACAAAAGTTGGTTACATGGTTTGTATTAACAGCTTAGATACAATGAAGTGAGCCATTCTTATTATTAGGAAATGGAGAATCCTCTTTCTCAGATGGCAGACAAGAGTCAACTCTGTATGCAGGCCTTAAGAACAGTAGTCTCAGGACTGCTATGTTCACAGTCATCATCTCAACAATGAAAGTAAAAAGAGTAATTTTCATTCATGAATTTGCTCTCAGGAAGTTAAGAATAAATGAGAACTTGCCCACCTGAAAACACTGTTGTTTCTAATTCACAGATAACATTACTATTTATGTAGAAAATCCAGAAGCATCTACCTTATTAAAGTGATCAGAAATAATCAAGAATTTGTCTAGGTCATGGGATTCAAATCAACACACAAAGATCAAATAATTCTATGTGCTAGAAGTGACTAGAAATGGAAATTAAAAAACACAGGTCAAAAAATCATGAACTCATAAAGTATTACACAACATTGAGGCACCTAGAGAACCTATTATGCTGAGTGAAATATTTCAGTCACAAAAGGACAAATACTGTATAACACTGCTGTTATAAAATAGGACAGATAGGGGTAGAGAGGGCAGAGAATGGAAAATGAGTGCATAGGTAACTAACACTGTAGAACAGATGAGGGGAAGAACTGTCCTAAAGGAATATATTGATTAGCATTATTTATACAACAATAATCTCGAACAAGAGGTGCATTTCTGGGTGGGCTGAGGAAGGGGAGGAAGAAGAAAATGTGCAACAAAAAATTTACAAATTAAAGAAAAACAAAACCCCCCAAACAAACACAGATCACTTTACAACAGCATCAATAAAAACACCATTGCTGTTCTGTGCTATAGAGTCACTTACAACTCACAGTTCTCACTGATTCCAACACACCTATCCTGATGACCCCAGTCACTGTGTCTATTCATTTTATCTGACGTCTTCTTCTGTGCTGTCCCTCCACCCTTCCAAGCATGATGTCCTTCTCTAAAGATTAGACCCTTTGGGAAATGTGCCTAAAGTACATGAGACAGAGCTTTCATCTGCTCCTTGTGGTGAAATGCTTGTCTATCAGACATTGTTCTAAAGCTAAGCATCCAAATTCAGACAGAACAGGAAGGAGGATTGGCCATCCACTTCTAAAATGACAGGCCTTTGAAAACCCTATGTACAAAACCACCATACTGATGGATAAATTAAACAAAATTTGGGTAAGAGTTATACACCATACCTATACAACAGTGTTGAAAATTTTAAAGATTTAAACATATGGAAATAAATATGGAGAATATATTAAGACTATAATCTGTCTCTCGATATTGTTATGTCAGCCTTATTTAGATATAATGCAAGGTCAAAATTTAGCAGGCTTCCTAGGCGCATCCAGAAACTTCTCTAACAGGGTAAAAAGGGAAGCCACAGACTGGGAAAAAGTGTTTGGTAATGACATATCAGATAAGGGACTTATATCTAGAATTTATAAAATACTTGACCACCACAATAAGATGAATAATCCAATTGAAAAATGGGCACAGGATATAAACAGACACTTCACCAAGGAAGACATTCAGATGGCCAACAAGCACATGAAGAAATGTTCAAAATCCCTAGCACTGAGAGAGATGCAAATCAAGACAACTATGAGATATCATCTCACCCCAGTAAGACTAGCAAAATTTAACAGAACAGCAAGCAACAAATGCTGGCGAGGTTGTGGAGAGACTGGAACCCTTATTCACTGTTGGTGGGAGTGTAAAATGGTGCAACCACTGTGGAAAGCGATGTGGCGCTTTCTCAAAAAGTTGCAAATAGAGATACCATTTGACCCAGTAATTCCACTACTGGGAATATACCCTAAAGAGACCATAAATGGCACCCAAGTAGATATATGGATACCCATGTTTATTGCGGCTTTGTTTACAATAGCAAGGAGTTGGAAACAACCTAAATGCCCATTAACAAACGAGTGGGTAGAGAAGCTGTGGTATATTCGCACAATGGAATATTATGCTGCATTGAAAAACAAAGAACTCATGCAATATTATTCAAAATGGGTGATCCTGGAGGACATTATGCTGAGTGAGGTATCTCAGTCACAGAGGGACAAATGCTATATGGTGCCACTGTTGTAGAATGAGGCTGACATCGGGATGGGGGTAAGACTGAGAAAAACTGGATGAAATATGTCTTTGGGGGAGAGAATATTTTATATTTTAGGGCATTATGTTTATCGTAAGAGTACGGAATGAGGGTTGCAGAGTGGATTATATTTGGGGATTGGGGGATGTGTGTGGGGGATTACGTACCAATGAGGGAGTTTTTCTTTTGCGTTTGAAGGAGAGGAGCAAACGGGGGGGAAGAGGGGTGCAACAATGAATGAATGGAATTCCAAAATCTCTGTAGATGTTCACTGAAATAAAAAAATAAAGAAATTTAAAAAAACAAAAAAAAACCCCAAAAACAAACAAACAAACAAACAAAAATTTAGCAGGCTTCTTTTTCTTGGTAAAAATAGATAACCTAATTCTAAAATGTGTAAGCAGATAAAGATTACTTAGAATAGCCAATAGGATTTTGAAAAAGGTGACCAAAAATGGAAGATTTAAGCTACTTGATTTTAAAACTTAATATAAAGCTATAATTATCAAGAGAATCTGGCATACACATCTGGGGGGTGGAGGGTGGGGAAATCAGTGGACAAGAAAAAAAAGTGTCTAGAAATATTTCCACATATATAAATCAATTTGCAACAAGATGCCAAAGTAATTAAAACAGGAAATATCCAACAAAACAAAGTTAAACAATTAGGTGGTGGTTGTTGTTATGCGCAGTTGAGTTGCTTGTGATTCACAGTGGGTAAAACAGCTCTGAAACCTGTTCTATCTTGAACGAACTTCATTGTCTCTGATACACCTACCCTCATTATCCCAGTCATTGAGTTAATTCATCTCATGCAGGGTCTTCTCTCTTGCACTGCCCCTCAACCCTTCCAGGCATGATGTCCCTCTTTAAGGACTGGTCCCTTCTTGAAACATGCCCAATGTAGGACAGACGATGCTTCAAAATCCTTGCCAGCTTTCACTCTTTCCAGAGTGAACCTGTTTGTTCTCCTGGTAGTCCATGGTATATTTAATACCAGCACTACACTCCAGCACCACAGCTCAAAGGCATAATCTCTTTCTATCATCCGTAGTCACTGTCCAACTTTCTGATGCATAGCAAGTGATTGTGAAGATCATGGCTTAGATCTGGCACACCTTAGTTTCAGATTAAAATCACTTCTCTTCAATACTCTGGAGAAGTCCCTCACAACAGATTTTCCCAGTGCAATTCGCCTTTTGATTTCATGGCTGCTAGTACCAAGAGTGTTGATTGTGAAGCAAACTGAAGCTGTTAACAATCTCAGTCTCTTCACCATCTATTATGCTGCTGCCAATTGGGTAGTCACATATACAAAGTGACCCACCAGTGGGTTTTCAAAGCTGTAAACTGCACAGGAGGAAACTGCCCATTTTTCTACCTCGGTGCAACCAGTGGACTCAAACTACCTGAGAAGTGTGGCCTTTGGATTAACAGCCCAACTCTGATGGTGCCACTATAGCTCTCTACTGAGGAACAGGGGTTCTTTTTTTTCAGATATGTGGATGACATCATTAGAGTTGAAAGAGATGTAAGCCTTTGTAGAGGCACATACTGCTTTATTTATTTTTATTTCATAAGAAATTAATTTATATATAAAAAGCTTTCCTGAACATGCTCAAATGGTCACAGTCGGATAGAAAGAGAAGAACATATAAAAATATGTTAGGACGTCAGCTTAATAGTTCTGTTTAAACCAAACAGGTGAAAACCAATGGAAAAAGATGTTTTCCTCCTCCTAAAAAATTAAGAGTAAACACTACCAGTGATGGATCTAGGAACATTTTTGTTAATGCATAAGAAGCAATCAGAGCCTATAGATGTCAGCTGGTATCAAATGGCAGCTATATCAGCTCTCCTTATTCTCTTAGGTGTAAAATAGAAAAAAGAGAACAAAATAAAAGAGGGAAAAAAACCCCAAATTTCTAGCCTTTTTGACCCCCTAAAGCTCCAGAAAGGTTCAGAGTCAGATTCTCCCACCCTTATTTTCTCCAGTAACAAGCACAGGAATATACAGGAGAGCACAGATAATGGATTTCAATCCACACAGAGACCAAGGCTTAGTGGGAAGCTGGGTGCTCCACTAACACACAGTTTATGAAATCTGACAACTGAACTGGGAAGTTTCCTATGACTTTTACCTTGACATGGCTTCCTTCTTTATCTGAGATAAGAGCCACGTAGGTGATTTCTCGATGTCTGCAGTACTCTTGCAATTCCTCCTGGGACTAGAACAAATAAACAGTATCAGAAATAAACACCAAGCAGTTAGAGAAGTTCCAGGTAACTAAGGAGCATGAAAATATTGTTTTCAACCATATTCTCAGAATCAAATACTAAATAAGCTGGCTCCAGAGGACATAAATATTAAGCAAGAAAATCACAGAATTAAAAGGTTTGGAGTAAGAACTTGTTTGCTTTTATTACTTTCACTGAAGTCTTGGATAGTCATGGTGGTTCAGAAACTATTAAGAGATTTAAAAAGCTTCCAATCTTAATGGAAATTTCCCCGGTCCCACCCCATACGTCTACCTATGGAAGAAACAACATGTATGATGAAAACTGAAAAGCAGGCTGAAGCATAAGCAAGCACAGAGCAGAGAAGTCTACAGGCCACGTCACCAAGCAGACTGAAGTCACCTGTCTCAGGTCTCCCATTTTGCTGCAGGAGAGAACTCTGCTCTAACAAGCTATGAAACGATAGAAGAGGGAACTGATGTCAGGTGAATGAAAACTGCTGCTCAGCATGTCGGATACTGATTCACAGAGCAAAGGTCAAAATGAACAGCAGCCACTTCCAAAGTCTTGGCAGGTAGATGTGACAGGACCAGGAGGAGATGTAGAGGGGCTCGATTCATTGGGATCTCTTCACACTCTGGGCACCTTTAGTGCCAGTGACTATCTGTGTATACGTGTGGACTCCCAGGAGTGTAGTTCCTCCTGGGACCGTCTTTTGACGGTCTAACTCACAGAGGTTAGTTCCCTAAAGACATCCCATTCTAAAGGGCAGGTGGGTATTGAGGTCCCACATTCCTTACCTCCACACCAAGAAATATCAAATCTGTGAACTGTGGGGAGCCTGAAGATAGAAGGCCTTTGAGGAGTGTGGTAAATGGTAAACTGGAAAATCGATCTCTAAATATGGCCATGTCCTAATCCCTGGAACCTGTCAACATGCTACTTTATATCAACATGGACTTGTGGAGATTCAATTAAATTATGGATTTTGATAGGGAGATTATCCTAGATTTGAGAGGATCTAAAGTAATCACAAGGGTCCATTTAAGAGAAAGATCAGGAGAGTCAGAGATGTAGGAATGGAAGCAGAGATCAGAAAGGAGAGAATATGCTGTTCCTACTGGCTTTGAATATAGAAAATAGGGGGCTTTCAACGTATAGAATATTGAACATAGAAGGACATGTGAGCCAACGAACAGGCAGCCTTTCAAAACTCACTGCTGTCAAATTGGAACAGATCTCTGAGGTTGATAGAGCTGAACTGCCAGAGAGGCTCAGACTTTGAGTTACCAGTATGCAATGTTAGCCTAAAAATTGGTTGGTTTTTTTTAAGCCATTACTTGGCTCCGTCTGGTCTCCAGCTACCTTAACTGCAGACACATGGTCTGGCAAATCAACAACAGCTGTGGAACTAGGATAAGGGAAAGAGTGCTCTAACACAGAACAGCAAGATGTGGAGAGAGCAAGACCCTGGTGATGACGGTAGAGAAACTGTGGCAAGGTGTGACCTCATGCTTCTTGCATTTGCATCATAATGCTTCTTCAATATGTGCCACATATGCTTCTTGCATTTATCCTGGCCACAGTTAAAGATGTTGCTATTCTTGCCAGGTGCTTAAAAGAGAAGCTGACTTATAAATGCTCTGAGAAAATCCTTGCTGGATGATTGGGGAAACCAGAGGCTTCTTGAATTTGTTTTGATGAACCAAACTGAGACTTTTACTAAATCTGGACTTCCATTGTGAGTTATCTTTGCCTCCCTCATTCTTCAACTTACCTCCCTAATAAACCCCATTCTTGGTACCACAACTCTGAATCTGTGGGTCAACAATGAATAAACGAACCTCTTGCTGCTGCTGTGGCTCTAGCGGCACCATAGGGCTTGGCTACGGCCTCTTTATTTGCTCTCTGCTCTGGGGTGGTGAGGGGCTGTGCTGTTCTCACTCCCTGTGGCCCATTCAGAGAGACGCTTTTAGCCGCACCTCATGTTGCATTTTCTTCCCTCTAGAGACAGTGCTACACCCTACAGACTAGGCCACAAGAGCTTCAGGGTAGTGGGGGGAGGAGGTAGAAAAGGCAAGAAAACAGATTCTCCCCCAGAATCTCCACAAGATTCAAGCAATACTAACTTCATTTTAATAAAACAATTTAGACCTCTGAAACTGTAAATTAATAAAGTTGTGCTGCTTAAGGCACCAAGTTTGTGATAATCTGTTCCCAAAGCAATAGGAAAATAATATAGGAAGCAACTACACACAGAGCTATTTATTGTTTGACAGAATCTAGAAGAGGATTTATTCATAAAGTCATGATGAGTTGCATTGTATTCACAGCTACTCCTGTCTCATCTCATTACCTGTGAGCAATCATACGTGATTTCAGCTGTGATTCCGGCTGCCCAGAGTTTCTGGGTTAGGTTGATGGCCCTGGACATGGACGTCTGTCCAATACTCACAACCAAGAGGTCACAAGAGCTTACAGTAACCTGGGTGACAAAAAAAGACAGTGATTATGTTCAGAAGCATGAGATTGTGAACCTATATTTGAGACCTGAACCAGGAGGGAAGGCAGCCCCCCGGTGAGTGCTTGAAATCTTGTATACCAACGGGATGTCCAGGATTACCTAAAGTCATCCGACTGGAAAGCACAGAGGATAAGGACTGACATGTAAGGACTGACAGCAAGGCTTAGGCTTGTCTATTACAGAAGAGGTAATTTCTAAAATGCTCAGCTTATAGCCACCACGTCTGGGGTTTCTGCACATTATTACACGAGGTAAGTCATACTTTTAGAAATGAAAGACAGCCCAAAGGATGCCAGAGAACAAAGAGAGCAAAGGCAGAACTCACAGGTTCTTCCATGTTGATGACAGCAGCAGTTATCTTGTCTATAGCTATGCTGACACCAATGGCAGTGGGAACCGGCCCCAGAGCCTGAGGACCTCTAAACCGGGGAATCTGTAGAGAGAGGAACAGTCCTGGTTATGAGATAGTGGACATAGTGTTCATCATGGAGAAGAAAAAATGATTAAGGGGCAAGATCTGCCAGCAACTTACCATCAAAGGGCTCAGCAAAAAGAAGTATGTGTGTACGTGTAAAAAGAGAATGTAACCATGTGTGCACAGGTAGTAAATGCTAACAAATCTATGTTTAGATCTGTCCTGTTCAGTCAGGCAGACATGTGGCTGTGAGGCACCAGAAACAGGGCAAACAGAAACAGAGATGTGAGGTGCATGTAAAAGAGACACAGATCACAAAGACTTAGGAAAAAATAATGTTCAACGGCTAATTAATAATTTGTGTAATTTTGATGGCGTGTTGTAATAATCTGAATATACAAAGTTAAAGGAAATGTATTATTAAAATTAATTCCACCTGTTTCTTTTTACTTTCAAAAAGTTACTAAAAATATATAAAGACAAAACAGAAAAACTAACCTACTGTCACTGAGTTGAGGCCGACTTACAGTGACCCTACGGGACTGAGCAAAACTACCCCATAGGGTCTCTGGACTGTAAATCTTTACAGAAGCTGACTACTACATCTTTCTCCAGCAGCAAAGGTGGTGGGCTGGAGCTGACCTTTTGGTTAGCAGTAAAGAATTTTAAAGTTACTAGAAAATGAAAATAGAGTAGAAGCGGACCAACCAGGGACATTGAGACTTGAGGAACAACATGTGAATTTCTTGAGTTTTCTTTTTGTCTCATACATCCTGGACTAGGTGCTGGAAAAACTGACAACCTCAAAACAGCAATGAGTGCTGACAAAAAGTGCCCAAGAAAAGTCCAAGAAAAGTCTACTTTTTCTAAAAACAAAACCAAACCACCCAAAGAAATAGATTAAACAAACCAAACCCAACAAAACTAACCAGGAAAGGAGTAATGAGAAAGATAACACTTTTATACAATTTCAGTACTGCTCTAGCCAAGGGTCGCAGAAGAAGATATAAGCTCACCCACACCAGCAAGTGCTGATGGAAGAAACCAGACACTCCCTCTGGCACAGATATAATGACCTTACCTCCTGACTTCCCTTCCCATTCCATAGTATCAGTGGAGGCATGTGGGAAGCAGTAACGAGAAGCCCTTCCCCTTTCAGTCAGTAGACATGGGGAGCACAAATCCCCACCCCCATCCAGCATTAACGAAATACTCTTCTCCCTAACAACAGGGTCAACAGAGACCAATGGGGAACCTTGACCTTCACTTCTACATGGTAGTTGTGAGACAGTGCCCTCCTTCCTTCATGGGCATGGTGGCAGAAAGTTTAGATAAGGTCAAGGCACATGATGTCTAGGATACAACTGAATAGTACACATCAAACCAAGAACTAATAAGATCTCAGAATGAATGAGTAAAGACAATCAACAGATGGCAATACCAAGATGACAAAGATACTAGAATTATTTGACAAGAATTTTTTAAAAAATTACAATACTTGACAATACATAACAATAGAAAGTTTCAGCAAAGAAAAGGAAGATAAAAAACTCAATGGACGGGCAACAGGAGGATAGAGATAATGAGAACAAAGAAAATGAAATTGAAGATACAACTATCTCAACAATTGAGAGAAATGGACTGAAAACTAAAATGAGCTCCTGAAAGAGGAAGAAAGGACACAGGGTTTCAAACACGGTGGACATGGAATAGCAACAAACTACCAACACAGCAGAGCAACCTCTCGATCTCCTCAGGCTCAGCCTGGATAAGCACATTTATGTGAAAATGTAATAATATGAGAACTTAAAAAAAGCAACTATACAACATTATCTCCCTGAACAAAGAGCATCAGAGCACTGTGTTTTATTGATGGATTTATCTTGTCCTGTGTTTTTCATCAATTTCTTCCACGTTTCCCCATATTATATTTAAATGTTGATCGTAAGCATCCTTATGCTGCCCCACTGAGAGTCAGCTGGAGCAAGAATTTATCCTGTGTGGAAAAGACAAGACTTTGTACAATTGTCTATTTAATGTGGAGTTTATTCAAAAGAAAAAAGCTTGCATAAATTTTGATACTCAGATATGACCAGAGATTCTTCCACTCCTGAAACCAATTATCTTGCAGACAATTAAGTTCTTAAGCTAATGGCATTTTCATTGTTCTCCAAACATTTCAATAAATATAACCACAAATAAAGAAAAAAGGAACCTCAGATATATGTGAGACTATAAAAAAACAATGTTACATTTGTGTCATCAAAAGTCCTAGAAGGAGAGGAGAAAGAACAGGCAAAGAAACAACAACTGAAAATTTCCCAAATTAGGAAAAGACATAAATTTAGGGTCAAGAAGCAATCAGGCCAAAAAAGAAATACAAACCAAGAAACCTCATAATTAAAAATCAGACAAAGTAAAAGAGTATCTTCCAATTACTGAAATTAAAATGATACTGTTCCTAAAGTAAAAAACCCAAATGAATGACGGCTTATTTCTCCTGAGGAAATATGGAGGCCAGAAGAATGTGACACATTTTTCCAAATGCAGAAAGAAAAATAACAGTCCCATATCGAGCAAACACTTTCGAAATGAGGAAGAAATGAGAATTTATTGTAAGCAGATCTAAACTATAACGATGCAGACAGAAATTCCTGAAACAGAAACGAAGTAAAAGGAAGAACAATGAAAAGAATAAAAAAATAAATACAATAGACTTCTGTTAAAATTATATTAGATAGCTGAAGTAAAAAGTATCACATTGTCTAATGCAGCTATCAATATATGAGAAGCAAATATTTAAGTCAATTATAAGGGGAAGGAAGCTCTCTACACTTAATTGACGTGGTAAAATGATGATGTTGGTAAATCTCTATGTTAAGTATCTTGATTGTGGCGATGGTTACAGGCATCCATCTGACATGATCAAATGACATGAACCTATACAGACATTTTGGAGCAATGTAAATTTCTTGGTTTTTATATTTTGGTATAGTTACACAAGATCTAACAACTGGGGAAATGAATGAGGATAAAGGAAATTTTCCATCTTTCCAAATTACTACAAACAAAATTATTTAAAAATAAAAGTTAAAAAAATGACAAATCTGGTTCACATAGTATTTCTAGATGAAAAAGATATAGGAGCTTGATTACCCACTGGTTCCAATGTTATATAGATTTGACCATTTTCTTTTTTAATTTTATTTTTAAGATTTTATTTATTTATTTTCTTGTTGTGTGCCATCGAATCGGATCCAACTGGCATGGGAGGAAGCTGACCTCCTCCAGAGGAGCATCTGATGGATTCGAACTACATGCCTTTGGGATTGCAGTGCAACTTCTTGCCACTAGGCCACCAGAGCTCCCTAAATTTGACTATTTTCAAAGCAACAAGTTGAAAAGGAAATAAAATTAAGCAGAACAAACAAGTAAGTAAAATGCAGGTCCTCACCAGCAGGTCGTATCTGCCCCCAGCCGCAAGGATTTCAGGCACAGCCCTTTGCCTTCGCCTAATGAACGCCACAAACTGGAAGATGGTTCCATTGTGCTGTTGCACCTTGTAAACCAAGCCCAAGTTGATTAAGACCTGGAAAGTGAGAGTCACATAAACGTATGATCAGTGCTGGGGATTTAGAATGTGGAATGCAATGCTGGAAACTATTTTCCACAAATCACATCAGAACAATCTATGTAGTGTAAATAACACTCTCAGTAAGATCTGGCACAAAGGCTTTTAAACTATAACCTGCCAAGTAAAAGAAACTCTCTGCTTTCCAAGAGTAACCATCTCTCAGAAGGCAATGAACTGCTGCACAATTAGCAATCATGGTGCCTATGGAGAAACTCTGGTTTAGGAAAAAATTATTACTGGATATTAAATGCTCCAAAATGGTGAAAGTAGACTTTTTTCCTGGAAAAATAAAAGGCTTACCAGCAATAATTAAATAAAACCTATTTCCCCTTCAGTCATTATTAATGCTAGACACACAACTCTGTATGGGCAGAAATGAGAGTTCCAAACCTGTAACTTTATGCCAAGTTTCTTCAACAGTCCAATCACTTCTTCTAGATCTTTTAAACCATATTTCACTAACTGGGCAACACCTGTTTTCTGTTTTATCAAAGAGTTTATTGTTGGTGTTAAATCTTGCAAATCTCCCTTCTGCTCAATGAATTTGTAGAGTCGACACAGCTGGAAAGAAAAGAGGCACAGTCAGCTTTCCGTACCCTCTGGGGAGGACACATTTTGCATCAGCTCTCATACAAGCTGGGGGACCTGAAGAGTTTTTACATCTCCATGAGGAGGAATTTTGTGGTCAAAGGTAATCTTGGGTTTTGCCACAATCCACCTAAGGATTATCTTCTTCCAACAGCCGTAAAGAACTTTGCAGAAGTGCTTTGCCATGTACTCACAGTTCATTCTCACCACACACTCACAGCTAAGGCCACCCACAGCAGAGCAGACTCTAGCACAAGCAGGACCTTCATCAGGTTTTCAAGCCAGTATTGCCCTTCTTTACCACTTGTTCTCATGAATGTCCATTATTACAGGCACTTACATTACTAAATTCAAAGATGAGAAGGTAAAATCTGACTCATTCTAATACTATGTCTCATTATTTAGGAACGCCCCACTTTCCCTTCTGTCTGATTACTTCCACCCATAGTCTTGTTATATACCTCAGACTTCTGCAAGCATCCTCCTGACCTGGCTTTACTCCTGGCTCAGGCCTTGATCCCAGATCCCAGCTCTACCTGCTTCTCACTGAGAAGAGGGCAGGACTGGAGACTGTCTGGGGACCGGCACAGTCCCTGGCTCTAATCAACATACTTGCAGCTAATCTTACACCACACAATAACCAGGGAAAAAGGAAACATGTTTTAGCAAAAAGGAAAGAAGATGACATTTAGCAACCAATGTAAACGTTACACGTGCACATGTATAATGTTTGGGAGGCTTTCTAAAATATAAAACCAGTCAAAAGAAATGCCTGGGCTGGATCTTAGTAGGTAATCACCGAATCGGACAAACCTGAATTAAAGTTCTCTATGTGCCTGAGCAGACCTTGTGCTGTATATAAATGTGGCTTTTTCTGCACACAGGTGTGAGCTGTGTACATGTCTAGACATCTACAGAATCATGTATATGTAGTTTTTCATATTTGAATATTGTGCCATTGAGTCACCTAGCAGATTAAATATTTAATATTGGAGCAAATAAAATATAAATAAAATTTAACTTGGCTCAATTAAAAAAAAATCCCAGTGCTATGTATCTGGTTTCTTTTCCTACCTGAAAACAGCATGGGCCATATCTTAAACTGTGGTTGTTATGTGCTCTGTGGACATTGGTATAAAGCCTACAGTAGTGATATGCTGCATATATCCTCAAATGGCTTTCTAAATTCCAGTATGAATCAAGAAGTTGAATATAATCTGTGTGCCCCTCCATTTATTTCTTTTTCTATTGTCCTACCATAATGCCTGCTGCACTGCAGGTGTCCAAAAGCCTGAGTGCCTACTTCACCTGTGTCTTGATCTATCCCATATGTGAATTTTTATGATCACTTACAGGATCATGTAACTGAGTGCCAGAGCAGGTGTTAAAATGTCTATTGGGAAGTTAAGAACAAAATCCATCCTTATATAAATATTCAGGAAGAAGTAAGAAATCTCTATTGTTTCCTGCTTTTTAGCTACTCAGTTAAGCACAGGTTACTGTGCCAAAGATCTGGGATTAATCTGATGCCTGTGGAAAGAATACAACAAACCTGTTTCCTCTGTGAGACTTTTGCCATTGCCAGTGGGCTCAAATGTTAAGATTTTAGGAGTAGGGAATGTAACAGGGAAGCAAGAATTTTAAATTCACGTTCCAGGAGCTGGAAGCCCTAAAGCGATACCCGAATGAATTTGCTGAGCTCTGCCTCGCTCCAATCCCATAGCATCTATTTCAGGAGAAGACAACCAGTACTAGATCTGCTCAGCAGGGACTCAACCAAACACAGCCTCTAAAAGAGGTGTAAAGGGAAGTATGTGGTGACCAAGAAAGAACAGGATGATTACAGCACATTAGGAAGAACCATGGAGAGACATTCTCTGGTCACAGTATTAGTTTCTCTCCTCTCCTCATCTCAGAGGTTGCCATGGTACCTATTAACAGCCAGGGGGAAACCGTGACTGTAAGGTGGCAGGAAGTGCTGCTATCCTGCTGCAGGAAGGATTCAGACATTTTCAGGTCTCACAAAATTACAGAGAAAGCTGTTAATAACATGCCAGGGCATACTTACACTATTAGAAGACAAAGACAGATTACAAAATTTAGCTTCCACTTCTCTCCTTGTCAGCTTTTCCGTCTAATAGAGAAAGAATATGAGCAATGAGTACCATCAACTTTGGCTTGAATAAGATACCATTTCTAGGCTTCTCATCTTAAAGACAGGATTTTGTAACAAAAAAATCTTTATCCAATACATTAAAAAAAACTTCCATTATTTTTAATTTACCATAACTATGCTGCTGTGTGCCATGGAGTCGGAAGTGACTCATAACTGACCCTCCAGTGAGGATGCAGAGGCTGTAAATCTCATGAGAAGATACTGTCCATCTTTCTTCCTTCAACAAGTTGGTAGATTTGAACCATCTGCCTTCGGGTTGGCAGTGTAACACCTTACCTACTAGGCCACTAGAGTTGCCTCATGATAACTATAATTGTTTTAAAATGTGAAAACCCCTGACATGACTGTTCAAAGCCAATACTGATGTGGTCTGAGCATTTCATCACACACTAGCAGATGGGGCTGTGGTGGAGGTTCAGAATAGGAATGAAGTGAAGCCCCTACATAATCCATGGCATTTCTGCCAGGGTCTTATTAACAGATTATGTCAGGATCAAGTGTCCATCACTGCCAAAGCAGTAGCCACATTTCAAGGAAAAGAACCATTAGGAAACACACAGCAAGATTGAAAAAAAATTAAAAAAAAAGCCAAACACAAAAATAAACCAAACCTAGTTGAGCATCTGGTGCGTAAAAAACAATAATATGCTATTATGGACTTCTACTGTTTGCTCTGCACTCATCAGAGACTGTCTGGCACTGTTAGCTATTGAATTTCCTGAATGCCTCTCATTTTATTTACTGTAAAAACAATACTTAACATAAAAAAATAACCATTCACCTCTATTCTAGCACCATTATATAGCACCAGTCTAGGCTCTGTATTTGCATACATACTATCTATTACTAACACCTTTCATGTGTTAGGACTGATTACTAAGTCAGATTTTACATCGAGAAATTTGTGAAGAACTGACAAATTAAACAGTAGAAATCAAGCTGTTTAAATCAGACGTTATTTAAAAACACAACCTAGAGGACCACAATAGCACAGACTAAATGGTGATATAATCAAAGCTAACTGACTCTTTTACTTTAAAGCAATGTGGGAAGGAATTACACTTCCAAGTCATGAACTTCTCATTCTGAATTTGCATAAACACACCAATTCACTGATTATTTCTGGAACTTTTAGCACAACTCACAGAACAGAGGAGATCAGGTGGGAGAGATGGAATGTATGGTATTAGTATTGAACTGTGCTCCTGTGTTAAATTCTAGATTTAAAAATTCATATTAAGTACTATAATCTGATGCATCATTAATAGTTTATCCATTTCCTGAAATTTGTTCCAATGCAGACAGAATTCTTTATTCTTAAGGAGGAGGAAAAATAAACATACTTAGATTTGACTGTACTAATTTTATGATTACCTCAGTATGAAAATAGCCCATCAAGTCAAAGTAACTAAATGCTTACCACGACATCATACAAAATAATGTAGACTTGACTGAGTTTATCTTCTGGGATCCCACAGTGTAAGAGTATGGCTTTCAGTAAGGTGGTATGGTTCAAGTGAATACTGTAATTTCTTTCCTAAGATACACACATAAAAAAATATTATTTTCATTATAATAGCAGTATAGTTACAAGACCAACCTGGGACCTTACCACCAATGTACTACAGTAACACAATGGAAGGATGAATTTCAGAATGCCCCCCCCGATGATGGGGTCCAATTATGATGACCCACATTTACTACAGCTATTTTTTACATCTTATCATTAGTAAAACATACTAACATATAATATGTAAGTTTATATGTAATACTTCTATCCCCTTAAGACAAATTAAGAATCAGATTTACTAAAAAAAGTATAAAGAAAAAGTTCACAGCCACTGAGTTGGAGCTGACTCATTTTGGCTGGCCCTCCACTGTGTTTCTGAGGCTATAATTTGGCCCATCTCTCTCCTGAGGAGTCCCTAGAGGGCTCATACTGCCAGAGAGGCATAGCCTTTGAGTCTGAGTCTCTATGGACTACACAATTCTGCAAGGACTACACCACTGGAGCTCACTCAGATTTACAAATATACTGGCAATATAAAAAGCAGTAATAATAATGAAAACAAATTCAAGCCAAACCCACCACCGTTAAGTTGACTGAGATTCATTCATTGTGACTTTCTACTGGGTTTCCAAGAGTGCAAATTTTTTTTAATTATTAAATTTTATTAATTTTGATGAACATTTACAGAGATTTTGGGTTTTCATTCATTCATTGTTGCACTATAAGAGTGCAAATTCTTATGGGAGGGGCTGCCCACCTTTCTCTCAAAAAGTTGTTGGTGGGTTCAAACTGCTGAACTTTTAGTTTGCAGCTCAGAATAGAACACATTATGCTGCCAAAACTCTTTAATGAAAACAAAAACCAAATTTGAGGTATCTGACTTACATCAGAACTGATTCAAAATGAGTTATCAGAATGAATCCTCCTGTGGTAAGTTGGGTATGACCTGTATTTCCTTCTATTTTTTTAAAAATATGCATTCTTCTCTCTCAGGGAGGAGTGATAGGGAATGGCAAAGGACACACCGACAAAGGACATTAATCAGAACTGACTTTGACAAGCACTGTGGCAATTGGACAATTAAAACAGACATTTGGATGGCGGGGAAGAACAACAAACTGGGGAGGAGGGTAGAGAGAATGGTGCAGCAATGAAGGAATGAAAACCCAAAATCCCTGTAAATGTTCATTAAAACTAATAAAATTTAATAATAATAAATAAATAAATAAATATGCATTCTTTTTTACACATAGGAAAGAATAAAACATGATTTAACACCACATTCTATGTATAGAAATGCTCTGCCTGACCTTCAGCTAGGTACAAAAGCCAGAGGGAGTTCACACAGATTAGATTTCAGAGAGGGTGAGGATTTGGTTCAACAGTAGCTGACTCACTAGCACAGCTGCTGGAATAACATTTACTGCTACTTTTTAGCCTCATGAGCTGATAAACACTTGTGTCCAACAGATCCACCAGCTGCTTCAGAGGCGAAAGGTGGGAAATCTGCCGTGCGGTTTACAGCCTCCAAAAACCTCCTGGAGGTTAGCTATGAGTTGGTTCAGGCTCAGCGGCCAATAAGAACAACAAAAGATAAAGTGGACACTGTGTGCGGAGTGCACTGTGGTGGGGTAAACAGAAAGCGGACATGTGGATTCTGTCCTGAAAGAGCTTATGTTCTGATTTGGAGAAACCAACTAATACAACAGAGGATCAAGTAGTGATGACTCCTGTGGGGTGCTGCTTGCATTTTGAAGGAAGGAGGACAGTCAATCCATGAGGATGCAGTAGGCTTCCTATGGAAAAATGACTCAAACTACGGCTACACAGAGAACAGACTTACTAGACAAAGCATTGACTCATTGTGACTCACAGTACAGCAGTGGGAGTGAACAGAGCACATCTGTGGGAGGGGGACGCTAGCAAAGGATTGTGTTAGGGTCAGAATTAGGCAAGTCAGGAAAAATAAGGCGAGGCTGGGTGGAAAGCTTGCTAGAACAAATTGTTGTTGTTGTTAAGTGTGGTTGAGTCATAGGCGACTCAACGACCCTAAGAACAAAAGTCCTGGACACCTCCTGTATAACTTTCATCCTTTCTCCAGGTTCACAGGGTTTCCAGAGGCAAGTTATTGTGGAAGTGTATGCCACTCCTGCTTCCAAGCTTGTTTTAATCAGGGAGCTCCACCAAACACTGTCCACCACAGGTGGACACTATTCTTGCATTTGACTCATCAGTGTCACAGTGTCTGGCTTCACAGCAACCACAAGTTACCTCTGTACAGCAAGTGGACATACCAGGGACACACGACCTAGAATGTTTTACCAAAACCAAGTAAAGGCTGTGAGGGCCCTACAGGATTTTAAGCTATAGCCTGGAGCAAGCTCCGCAGGCTCCACCACACCTTTACATACCCTTACTCTAAGGGTCAGGGCCACCCATCCACCTTTGAAGGGCAAAAGGAACCATCACACACAACGAAAAAGACCCCAGAAACTTCCCTTGCCTGACTGCCAGAAAGAGGAGCCGCCACGGAGACTCCAGCCATCCCTCCGGATTGGCCGGCTGACTTCCAGAGTGGAGGGAGACTCCAGTGTCCAAGGTCATGAAGGATTTTAGGCTAGCTGGAGCAGGCTCCACCACACCCTTACTTACCCTTAGAGCAAATACCAAGAAAATAAAAAAGGTGAAAAGTCATGCTAGGAGCCAATAGAAGGTAAAAGTCAAATGAAGGAGCTAAACCAGACTCTGCCCGAACAACAGATAACAAAGCCAAGCTCTGCTTCACAGTCCTGATGTACATGGGTAGTAAAGGCTGCCTCTTGGAAGCAACCTAATTAGAGTATTAGGTGTGTGAGAAACCCATGATGGGACCAGTGACATCACGAATAATAGAGTAAGATGGCCATCATTCCGTTGGCCCAGCCTCGTATGAAAGTAGGAAGCCAGCCACTGTATTAACCTGTGGTGCTAGTTGCAAAGGGTCTTCTCTACTTTCAGAGAACAATCCATCCCTCTCTCTGAGATATATCTCTTCTAATAAAAGTCTCTTTGCTTTCACCTTCACTCTTCTCATTTGCTAACAGTTGCATGTGCTAACAAGGACTCAGCCTACACCAGGACTATTGTAAATAGGAGGAGGGCTTCACTAGGCCAAGACCATGGGATTCAGCCGCAGCTGATCTTCCTGTTGATTCCCACCCACTTCAATTCTTTGCCCATGAAAGGAAAACAGAAACCAACATCAATTGCACGGTACCAGCTGTGCTGGAAGCAGTCCTGACTGGCTTGCTCAGGTGCCCCCGAGTGGACTATGACTCACAGCGACTCCATGGACACCAGCCTGAAACCATGCCTTATTCTGCATCACTGTCTCACTCCACTGTTCAAGCCCACTGCTGCAGTCGCTGTGTCAACACATCTTGTTGAGGGACCTCCTCTCTTTTGTTGACCCTCGGCTAGGCAAATGAGGAAAAGTGAAGCTGAAGAGTTAAAAGGTGTGTATGGTAGAGGGTCCTGAACACTGAGGGCTCTGAACAGTCATTGTTAGGTGCCACTGAGTATGATTCATAGAGACTCTATGAACAGCTGACCTGAACCTTGCCCTATCCTCATGGTCTCTGACACAACAGAGCCTGCGGCTAAAGTCCCATGTCATTGTATTTCACTAGAGGTCTTCTTCCTATTATGGAAGCATAATATCCCTTTCCAAAGAACAGCCTCACCTAGCTACATGTACAAAGGATGAAAGATGAGACTTCAACCATCTTTGCCTCCAAGGAGCACTCTGGTTGTATCTTTTCCAAGACACAGTAATAGGAAAATGCTAAAAGCATCTTAGTTCAGAGTCGACTAGATGACACTTAACAACAACAGGATCTTAGTCTTGATTTGTATGGAGGTACAGTTGGACAAACAACACCTTTCCCTCCAAATGAGATAAAAGCAAGCGAAAAAACAGGACAAATTTCTATCAAGGAAATGGTAAAGCCTAAAATTAATCTTAAAAGTAACACCATCAGAATACTACACAGCATGCAGAGGTAATGATTTTGTAAATCACCACCTAACTTGGGAGGGACTGGAGGGCATAATGCTACACGAAATAGGTCAGTCCTATAAGGACAAATACTGTATAAGGCCATTATTGCAGAAATAGATAACTAGTAAAATGTGTATGAGGATCTAAGGGGAGAGGGGAGGAAGCAGAAGGGTGAGGATGGGTGTGGGGGCTAATCATAGGGTTACACAAATTGATGGGTGGAAGGAGGGATGCATTACAGAAATGAGAAAGATCCAGTGTGAAAAATAATGTATACAAACTTTGTAAATAAACCAGTATAAAACAAAAATCTTATATTTAAAAAAAAAAAGTAACACCATCAGACTGTTTTCCGTTACTTCAGCAATAATGTGCTTCACTACTGGTGCACATTTCTCAGCAGCTCTGTGACTGCTGCTTTCTTTACCACATCTGGTGTGGGACTGAGGTGGAGGTGGGGAACCTCAGATTATTAAAATATCCAAGGAACCTGGAGCACTGGGAATTCCTGGATGATCTCATAGATTGTGTAGATGATTTCTGCAGTGGGCAGAGAGCTGTTGGCGGTAGAAGTGACAATGTCAAATGCACACTCCAAAAGTTCTTTGGGATGAATTCGGTCTAATTTTCGAGGTCGGAATACACGTTCAATACAGTATCTGGAGAGAGAAAGCCAGATTTCAAAAGTTACAGCTTAATGTAAGAACATTTTATGTAAGAAAGAAAAAAAACACTCTGAGGAATGATTGACAGGGTTCAAAGACAGAATTACCCCAGAATATTTTCTTTGTTTCAATGCTCAACTTAGTACTATTAAACTATGAAGCTTAATTTTTCTTACTGTCTGAAAGAGAGATGAAATCACACATACACGGTTTACCTTCTACACAGGGGTGCCCAGACCATAGGGTTGAAACTAGTAACTGTTCACTTGATACTGAGAACAAAAGCACATAAAAAGCTTTGATTTCATGAGAAGAAAAGAGCTTTAAAGTAGGGCACCTCCTTGACAACAATATCCTTCCAAGTGATGAAGATGACAGTGCTTGACTCCTGGTATTTAAATGTGCAGGGAACCTTTCTGCCGTGCTAAGTGCCTGGAGGCCCCAGTGTTCAGCTTTCCTGCTGGGTTTACCAGCAGCTTTTGTTCACTTATCTGTGTAGGCAGTTTTCACACAGAGACTATTGGCCATTTGTCTCTCCAATTAAATTTTAAAAGTGGCCCTCTATGATCAAGAAAAGTCAGGAGGGTTTTTTTTATGTATTTCAAGTAATCATTTGCAAGAATAATGTTGCCTGGGGATGTTTAGGAGGCATGGAATAGAAGGAAGCCAACGGCAGCATTACTTCTAAAGAGCAGGATGGCAGTCTATCTCCTGACAGAAGGTAGCACTGGAGCTGGGCTTCAGGAGATATCCCAAGCTCAGGACTCTGAGCCCAGAATTCCTTACGGTGTAAGGATCACAGAAGAGAAAGCACCCATCCCTAGTTATTCTCCCACAGCCGCTAAACGGTTCTTACCGTTTTAAATTCAATATATTATTTCTTGCTACATATCTTGCAAAAGGAACCTGAAAAAGAAAATATGAGAGATCAGTGCTAAAATATACTAACCCCCATGACCCTTACAAAACAAAGCAAGATTACTGAGACACAATTCACATATCATAAAGCTCATCATTTTAAACTGTGCAACTCTTAAAATGTTCTAGCAGTAGAAGAACGACAATCTCAATCACTGTGGCATTTATGTTTTTATATTTGAGAAAAATTGGGGCTTTTTAAATGGGAGCAGCAATATGAAGCATCAGACTTTGAAGCTTCACTTCAAGTGAAATATACTCCACCATGTTTTTATGGTTCTCACACCCGTTGTGCCACTGAGTGAGAACCAACTCACAGCTGACCCTCTGAGCTGCTTTACAGAGTTTAAATCAAAATTAAAATATGTGACAATTTTAAAAAAGTATCATTTATGAAAATAGAATAAAAATGGACAGTATTTCTTATGATGAATTTCCCAATTTTATTGAAGAGCTTTTAAGCAAAATTCTTAATAAATACCATAATTTATAAAACTATTATTAGAATATCCCAACAGACCTAACATCATTAACTAATGGGTTAGATTCTCAGTGGGCATTTTACTTAATTGCATTGTTCACAATAAGGGAATGGACATTTATCTTCTAATATTTAGAGAATAAGAAGCCAGTTGTAAGTAAAATAATACAGCTATGCAACTGTCTGTATTTCTTTCCTTTCTTTTGTCAATCTAATGGTCCATTTACCACCAAAATAAAGGAATGTCCAGGCGTTTGACTACTAGATTAAAAGTCAGTAGTTCAGATTGACCCACAGCCACCAAGAGGTTTGGTGATCAACTTCTGATCATGTTCTCCACTCAGGGACATTCTTAAGAATAAGCAGCCTTTGGAATAGAAGCCTAGAGCAAAAGCTGATGGACAGACGCAACCTTTAACACAGATTCGACACGACATCCAGGTGGTCAGTGGAAAGTACTCACCCGCAGGTCGAAGGGAAGCATCACCAGCATCCCGCTGTGGTCCATGAATAAGGCAGCTTCATTGTGCTCGTAAACTTGCTTATTTTGGGGAAGCAGTAGTGGAGTACACAATTCGACAGCTCCTATGCCAAATCAGGGAAAAAAACCACTCTGATTTCATCCTTCTGAGAAGGCAATTTAAAATGAACAAAAAATTGACACTGAAGTCAAACAAAAACAAACCAAGTAAACCAATCCATTCCTGTTGAGTTGGTTCCATTTGAAACAACTCTTTCTTAGGTTTTCAAAGCTGTACATCTTTATTAGTGGAGATTGGCCATTTTCTCCCACGGAGTGGCCAGTGGACTTAAACTGTTGACCTTTTGGTTAGTAGTCTGATAAGCTACATACTATGCCAACAAGGAGACTGCTGAAATCATCATGCTTAACTTAAATTTCCTAATGAAGCACTCATCTAGGGTTAAGATTGCCAATTAGATAAATTTATGACTTCTCAACCCCATTGTATTTTAGTGGCAAGGCTGCATCTTTAATTCAATTTCTCCTTATCAAACTGAACTGTAAAGACATCTGAGCTTCCCAATGCAATTGAATATAATCAAATTTAAAAGTAAAATAAAATTCTCTTTTAAAGGGCATACCGTGTCTTTTAAAGATGCGAATAATGGTTTCACACACATGCTGCTGTATCTTGGCTGTGCGGATTGAGAAGTTGCCCTAAAACAGGACCAATTAAAATATCATCATAAGCCTTATCACAGAATATTAGTATGTGGCTTGTTGTCAGCACATTGCTTGTTCCCAGAATCATAAAAAAAAAAAAAACCAAACAAAAACACAAAACCGAAACCACCTTAATAAGTTAGTCTGTTTCTGAACAAATTCAAGGAAGAATAACCCATGTGTCTTTAGAATTTGAGAGTCTGTGCCTAGCAATGGAAATGTCATCTGGCTCAAAGTCCAAGCTCTTAGCAAGTTTGACAGAGGTCTTTCAGAGGCATTGAATCAAATATATTTTCTCTGGGACGCTCAGGGATGCTCTGAAGAGACTGAATAGATCTCACACATTGCAGGCAATTCACAGGGGGTGTGTTGGAAGTGATAAAGCATTTATCCATTTTAAAAAAGTTTCATATTAATTTTTTCTTTAATGCCAAATAATACAATTTCACCATATAGAAACAACAGTTAAGTTAAAAGACAAACTAAAGATCTCACCTAGAATTCAGCAAATATCTCTAATATTGCCAGGAAGTTAAAACTGTTAGGCTACTATAATCTGTGCTGATATATGACCAGTTTTACCACTACTATTACCCTCTTAGAATTACATAGTATTTTAAGTAAAGAGAAACACACGAAGAAGATAAGAAATATCTGTGTACCCATTAACTTGCTTCAACAAATTGTAACATTTTGCTGTACTGGTTCAGATCTTTTTCTCTACTCTCTTACTTTTGTTTTGCTCAACATCCTCAAGGTGGGCTGCCTCAAACCACCTTAATTTTTTAAACAAAGATCTCTGGGGATTCAAGACCTAGAGCTGATGAGGGGGTAAGGGGTTGGGGATTTACACTGTCCCAAGGGCTTCCAGGTGATTTACTACAGTCAGAACTGACAGCTGTTGTCCTACTGGTCTGAACCCAAGCCGGATGGATGCTTTGAGCTCTGGCGGGTAGGCCAGGGCTTAATCTTTAAGTGCACTACTTCTTAATCTTTTGGATGAGTGAGAACTAGATGTGTTAAGAGCTCCTTTAAATAAATGATAAAAAGCTCAACTCTTCTTCCCAGAAAAATGTATAAAGACAAATTTTGCATATAACATGCAGGATCTTCATGTACCTCAAACTGAGAACTTTGGTTGGAGGCACTGGAGGGAAAAAAAAAGGGAAAAAAGAATCCATCAAGAATAGGAACCAACTCAATTTTTTTGTGGACCAAGGCAAGTTTCAGCTCACCTTCAGGATGTCGCTGTCGTAGGTGTAATCAATGGCAGGGGAGATGTGCTGGGAGAAGATGTGGGCCATCATGGTGCGGTAGGCCTTGCCGTCCACGTTGGCCAGGGTGTGGTGCAGCACCTCGTGGAGCTCCGATTCCTCCATCTGGGGCGGGGGCAGCAGCTCACTCTTCAGCAGTTCTGTGGCTGTGGGTCGCTTGGCTGGGTCGTGGTTCAACAGCCAGGAGATGACAGATTTCTGTAAGGAAACCCAGGCACACCACTGATGTGGCACAGTGGAAAATACATGAGAATTCTCTTGCCAACCTAGTGTTTGGTTCAGGCGGAGCAAAGGACATTCCATGTCTCGCCCTTGGTGCATTTTAACCAGCATTTCAGAAATGTCTGCCTTTGTAATTTTTTTTTATTCTATACTTTATAAAGGTCACAGAGTTATGCAATAATGTAAAATCAGTAATTTTAAAAATAAATTCATTTTATTGGCATAACCAAAATTATTCTCAACAACTGCATAGAAGCAGAAAATGCATAATATAAACAAAGTACTATACAATAAAGATATTAAGAGCAGTAAACAAACAGCTTTAGATGGCTAATTTTAGTAGAAATTATGATGCATAATCACTAGGAAGCCTTAAAGAAACAGAAAACATTTGTTTTTTTCTTCATCATTTAAGTTTTTGTGTTGATGTCTCTCTCTTGATTTATGTTACTCATATGTGACACTGGCACGCCTAACACTTCATTAAGCGGAGAACCATTGGAAAGGCAATTTAAGCCTTTGGAAGGTTTCTTAAGGTTTCCTCATTCTCTTGTTTATAAAAAAGAGGTAGAAAACTATTTAAGAGACCAGATAATCTTAGTTTCTTGATGAAGCTTATTAAGCATCTTCTAATTATGTATTTTAAAACTATTCTTACCTATTCCCTGCTCCTGTCTTATGCTGAAATAAAAACTTCAGTGCTTCTGTGTTTGCATTTTACACCAAACTCAAACGTAATGCTGTGCTGGAGAGCCACCTCCATCAACACAGCCTCCATTTCTAAGGCTGTCAATCTTTCATAGGAGGAGACTGGGCATTTTTCTCCAGAGAAGTGCCTGCAGATTTGAATTTCTGACCTTTCATTAGTACTGTAGCACTTAACGTACTGCGCTGCTAGAGTTGTTTATAGTTTAAACACTAAAAAAACAACCCAAAAAACAACAACCCAAAACGAAACGCAGAACCAACAAAACCTCAAATTGTCTGCCATCATGTTGGAACTGACTCATATGTGAACCTCCAGTGAGATTCCGAGGCTGTAAATCCCCTGAAAGGAGGTTGTGTATCTTTCTCCTATAGAGCTGCTGGAGGATTTGAACCACCAGAGGGGTAGCTTTTCGGTTAGCATCACGACTTCCTCCAGACTATGAGGTTTACTAAAACTCCATGATAGCTTTAGATGTGTGGGGATATGAAATAATGTTGAGTTTTATTCATAGCTAGGAAAAGAACACACATGATATCTAAAAACACAGAAGAGACTGTTCAAATAAATGATAATGGCTGGCAAAAGAAGTAGAAATCTAACTCAATATATTTTCTAATGGATCTTCACGATTTAAAAAATGAGGCAGAACTAGGATCAGTAGTCATAAATGTACTGCAGAACATTAATGCTAATAAAAATAAGAGCTATTTAATTCTTTTATTTGACAGGTGAGGAAAAATAGAATCTAGTCTAGCATACTTTGGACATGTTGTAAGGAGGGACCAGTTCTTGGAGAGGGACATCATGCTTGGTAGGGTGGAGGGACAGTGCAGGAGGGGAAGGCCCTCTATGAGGTGGATTGATTCAGTGACTGGGATAATCGGGATGGGAGTGTCAGAGACGGTGCCATTGGCACAGGACAGAGCAGAGTTTAGGGCTGTTGTACATAGGGTTGCTAGGAGTCACAAGTGACTCAACGGCACATAACAACAACAACAAAATGGTTAAGTGAGATGTCCACCTAGATTCATAAGCAATAAACAAAAGACAGAAAATTAATGAATTAATGCACTGTTTTATCTAGGAGTCAGCTTTTAAATTTAATAATTTAAATGAGAGAATGTATTTGACTGAAATTGTTGGTAAAAGTGGATTTAAAAATGATACTACATAACAAAAGCTTAACCAGTGATAAAGGTTTAACCAAGAGTCTATTAGCCAGAAGTCAGTACTACCTATGTGTGACTCATACACACACACACACACACACACACACACACACACACACACACACACACATTTATGGTAAGGAGCGAAGACGTTTATACTTTAAACTATTATAACATAAAATTGTCTAGAATATGCAACTTACCTTCTTCACATCGAAGCTACTTCAATATTTTTTAAAACAATGAGCTGTGAAAGCATTTTCTTTTCTTACAACTGCTAAGCTAGGAGCCAAATAGCACTTCAAAAGCACAATGAACCACACAAAAGAATTTTGCAGTTGGTTAATTTTCTGTGCCAGCCCTTGGCGGTTTTTATGGTGTACTTCAAGTCTAATAACATTTAAGTGCTTCATCTTTTGATAGTTCCCCCCATGTTGCACCCAGGATGCAAGAGGATGAGTGGCAGAAGATTACTAATTGAAAAAGAAGAAAAACAGTAATTAAGACCCAAGAGTGAAGACATAGTAATTAAAGCATCAGAAAATTACCTGTTTTGTATGCTCTCCGTCATCGAAGTCTTCAGGAAACTTAGGCGAAGTGGGCTGAAAAGATATTAGATTCAAATCAGCAACTGCTTGGCAGACTGCCACGGTGAAAGAAAGCATTATTCACCAGAAACAAGAAAATCAAACACAGAAAGAAAAATGTGCTAACAGGTGAAGACTGAGAAATCTGATGCCCGTTCTTCCAAATATTTATTTTTACTATGAACAGTTCTCAAACGATGGCCTATGTTTCTAGAAGCACCTCATATGAGGATAAAGATTTTTAAAAAATTCTTAGTAGTTTTATTCATAATAGTCATGAACTAGAAACTATAAATGGTCATCACATGGCAAATGGGTCACATACAAATTGTGGTCACATCCATAAAATGGAATGCAACACAGCAAGTAAAACAAGCAAGCTACTGTTAAGACATATGCAACAAGGGCAAGTCCCAAAAGCTAAATAAAACTGGGCTAAAAGCCTATCAACATTTTTTTTTTAATCCTTTAGCTTTGACTTTATTTGATGAAGCCCAGTTGTACAAGTTCAAATATGCAGTAACATTTTTCTCCAGTTGAGAGGGTGAAGCAAGGGTGGATCTGGAACATATGTCCTTTAAGATTCAGCTTGAATCCTCATTGTCAGTCAGCAATATCACCATCCTTATTTCTGTCAGGTGAGACATCTTCTGTAAAGCATACCAGCTTTTCAGGAAGGCACTTTGCACTTTCAGCATTCAGATAGGAAGAATCCTATGGCGACGTCGCAGTTACTCCATTGGCCAGCAATCAGGGTTTAGATTGAATTTAGGGAGATCTTGCTAGGGCCTCCAAATGTAATGGAGCGAGTCCCCAGAAAAGACCACCGACCCAATTAGCCGAATTAAAGTTTATTCGCGTGCTGACACAGCAGCATCCACCCAAGAGCTAAAGCCTATCAACATTATGAATCCATTTATACAGAATTTTAATACGGGTAAATAACTGTGACTTAAAGCCAATCAATGGTTTCCAGGTGGAAGAAGAGGATTGACTGCAAAGGGCATAAGGAACTTAAGGAGAAAATATTATGAAATCTAGTATTTCAGAGAAAATACAGTCATTTTTATTAAACAAAGAGATGACAACAAGTAAAAAAGCCAAACCACTAATACAGAGTACTTCCACCCAGAGAGTTCTCAACATTCGGATAAAGAAAATAGCATATAAGGGCCCTGGTGGTGCAGCGGGTTAAGTGGCAGGCTAACTGAAAGGCTGGCAATTCACACTCGGCACTCACTCTTTGGGAGAAGCGTGAAGTGGTGCATGTCCATGAAGATGCATAGCCTGAGAAACCCTATGAGGCAGTTCTGCTCTTCACCTGTAGGGTCACTATGAGTTGGGATGAACTTGAACACAATGGGTTTGGACTAATCAGAAGATTAATTTGATGGTTTATACACTCCTCAAATGAGATCCTTCATTCCACTTACTCAAGAGTAATGGAATCTCAGTCCTCCTCATCCAAACCTTCTCTCCATTTTAATCTTAATGCCATCTCTAGTCTTACACATGGTAACAGAGGCAAAGATTAATCCCAAGAACACAAATGAAAATTTCATTGGATTTAAAAAGGAAGCCAAGTTGAAGTGGTTGATATTTTCGTAGGTCCCTTTATACATTGGTCAAGATAGTATTCTCCTGGTGCAGCAATGAAGGAATGAAAACCCAAAATCCCTGTAAATGTTCATTAAAACTAATAAAATTTAATAATAATAAAAAAAAGATAGTATTCTCCAGGTCCGTTTTGCTGTAATCTTTAATTTCTAGAATGAATTATTCATTCTTTTTTTTTTAATTCATTATTCTTGCTTGTCCCTTCTGCTATAACTGTGCTGATACAATAAGCCCTCCTCTGTTGTAAAATCCCAGAGTAAATGTACCAAGAGTAAATCTCAGAATGATAATTTTTAAAGTACTTATAATCTAGCAATTTCATCTAGTAAAACCCCACACACATACCTGCTGCTGTAATTGTTACTGCAGCAGATCACCAGGACTTTGTCCTGTGGCACTGTGGGTGAGTTCAAAGCCAACAACACTAAGGCTAGCAGCTGAATGCAAACCACTCATGCCTCCCAGGCATTTATGCAGGTAAGATTTTAAAAATTAAGTAAAACTGGGAAGAGTGTCTCCAGACATACAGAAAAGAGAGTAGTAAGATTGCTTCTAAGTGGTGATGAACTGCTACTTAGAATATCCAAAGTCAGATCACCAACCTGGCTTAGACAAAATTTCATGCAAATAAAACAATTGCTTAGTTTGGCAAGGAAGTAATTAAATGACAGTAGATCAGCCTCTCCTCTATAATGAGGACCAGAGAAATATCCATTCCTGAATTCTCATCTCCATGGTGAGATTCTGTTTTCTGGGAATTTCTGCAATGAAAACATATAATACGTACATCTCTGAGTTGGTTGAGAACACAGATCCTTTCTGAAGCCGTGACCATGGGATGATAGGACATCTCAAAGAAGATAATACCCAGGCTGAACAGATCCACTTTCTGAGGGGGAAAATGATATTTAATGAGCCTTGATACGAGTATAGTATAAGAGAGAATTGGGGATGAGCACTGTGAATTAGAATAAAGTTTGCATGAATGGAAAGCAAACTAGGCTAGAAAAATTTATGATTATTTTAAAAAATTATAGGCCTAAAGCCTATGTGAGATATTTTACATTCAGATTATGATAAAACATTTAGCCTGATTTAGATTGTGATAAGACATTTAGCCTGATTTCTCTCAACATTTTTCTTGAAAATGAACTGCAACTGTTTTAGCTAATACTGAAAATAATGGCTAATGAAAAAGGACAACAAAGATTTGATATTTGAATTTGCTTTGCTTTGCATCTTAAAAGTGAAGCACAGAACCAAATTTGCAGCTACTGGCAAAGGTCAGCTCTTAATAAGACATAGATATAACAAAGACACGGCAAGAGCATTGGAAAAAAATCATGCACCAAGTCAGGAAAGCTCATTCTCAAGAAAAACTCTAAAAATGAATTAGGACTCAAGGATTAGCAAGACTGTATTGTGAATTTTCACCAGTGGCCTCTGAAGTCTCAAAAACAAACACCCACAATCGCATTCTATTCATGTTGGTTCTAGAAAAACTGGAACATACAGAAAAGTACCAGAATTAAAATAGAATCACCTGTAATTCCACTACTCAAAGATAACTACTATTAATATACACTCATGTTATGTTCAAATATATCCTTTTAGGTACATACTACAAGACTAGAAATCACACTGTAACTTTTAGTCACTTTATAGTAAGAATAGTTTTCACATTATTACATCATTTTTCTAAAACATTAATTTAATGACATATGTTGTTTTTGTTGTTATGTGGCATCGAGTCAGAACAGATTCAGAGCTGACCCGCCAGCAGGTTTCCAGAGGCTATAAATCACACAGGAGGAGACTGCCTATCTTTGTTTCTTGGAGCAGCCGGTGGATTCAAACCGCATACTTTCAGTTGATAGCACAACTCTTTACATAGTATTTAATTATATTACATTTTATTTAACTAGCTATTTTTAAACACTCAGTTATTTTTCACTATTATAAATAATGCTATGATGACAACCTCTTTATTAAAATAGGCAACACAACATCTGGCAAACATTCATATTGTACAACCGTAACTAATATCACCTGCTTGATATTTCATCCTTACAAACAAAAGAGGGTAGAGCTCTGTGGGGGGAATTTCACTGCACTTGGCCAAACTGGCCCAGGAAGACAGCAATGAAGGTGTGCCCTCTCCCCAGACTCACTGGGAACTGGAAGGTCTAGTCTGTTTCATTCACCTTAAAGGCTTTGAAGCCACCATCTATCTAGTACTCTTGTTGGATGTAAAACTTTAATTCACATTTCTACTTTGGACTTGGTCATACACTTTGATGTAAATATCCTGCTTTATTTTTCAAAAAGTGAGCTTTACCTTCTTGCTGTAACTGGATTTTATGCAATCTCATGCCTTAAAACTAATCTACATGCTGATAACTGTCAAATTTTTATCTCCGTCTCTGACCTTTTCTCTGAACTCAAGTCTAGGGTTTTTGACAACCCACTGGACATAGGAATGTCAGAGATTTTGAGGATGGTTCGGGATAGGATAGTTTAGATCAGATTGTTTATAGGACTTTTATGAGTCTACTTGACTTGATGGCACCTAAGAACAACAACTGGACATATCTGTTTCCATTTTCAAGTATTTAAAATTGAAAATGTCTCCAGTCCAATTTTCCTGTGATCTTCTCCTTTATGTCTTTCCCATCTCAGCTAGCTAGCCTTTACCCAGTTGCTCTAGACAGAGACCTTGGCACAGCATTCTCCTGCCCCCCTGACTCTTCCTTTTCCCACCTGACATCTACTCCACCAGAAAATTCTATCAATTTCCTTCCAAAATGTATCTCACATCAGTGTGCTTCTCTCCATCTGTATGGCTAACACTTTGATTTCAGCTATAAGCTTCTCCATTGGATGTGCTCATGTAGAATTTGGTGACACTGACTACGCTCACCACAACCGTGACCCTTATCCTTTGTATACATGTACACATTGAGGGCATGAGTGGCTCAATACCAAATGCTGTGCCTTTACCTGGTTGTACGCAGACCTAGTGCTTCCTTGGACCTCTGGGCTTATGTACAAAGCCGTGCCAACCATTCCTGTCAAATGACCTGCATGGAGGAAGAAAGAGGGAAAGCTTCCCAGTAAGATTTACAGATACGGCAAATAATAGTTTTTTAAAGGGTATCTTAAGAGTGATGCATGACACACAATTTGTCATGCGTTTTTTTAAAAGATAACTGGTTGACTGTAAGTAATACATGGCTGCACACTCTGTCCCATGAGAAATCTTCCCTGTTTCAAAGGACGGTCAGTATGAGATGAAGATGACCCTGCACAGACCAGCTCATGAGGCGGCCTCGATTACCACTTGGGGTTAAATAAAAGTAACCATGGAGCCAGTTATTCTACTCACGTAAGTGCTAACTTTTTAGAATTCTGAAGAACAAGTAATACAAAGGGGAAAAAAGAATTTTGTTAACTTAATAATTAATTACTATTGGTTTTGAATAAAATCTTTACGAATGAAAAATCAAGTATCTGATTAAGGAGAGTTGGGGACTGCACTTTCACATGCTAGTTAACCAAATAATCTTCTGGATTTACCTGAAGGATCTGATTTATTAATCAAGTGATCTCCTGCTTGATCATCTTGTTTGCCATCAGCCTAAAAATACAAGTAAATCAAATGTCAAATAAAAACTTTATTTTATTTCTTATTTTTGTTGAGTACCACTGAGTTGGAACCAACTCATAGCTGACCCTCCAGCAAGTTTGCAGAGGTAGTAAATCTCATGGAAGGAGACTGCCCACCTTTCTCCCATGGAGCAGGTGGTGGATTTGAATCCAGCGCCTTTAGGGTGGCAGTACAATTCCTTACCACTAAACCATCAGCAGATAGTTTGTGAAGCTGGATTCTATGAAGAGGAATGTGGGATCAGTATCAGAGGAAGAGTCATCAACAATCTGGGTGATGCAGATGGCACAACCTTGCTTGCTGAAAGTGAGGAGAACTTGACCACTTGTTCCAGAACATGAACGACTATAGCCTTCAGTATGGATTATATCTCAATCTCAATAATCAAAAGTTCTCACTATTGGGCCTAGAGGCAGCATCATGATAGATAGAGAAAAGACTTAAGTTGCCAATGATTTCATCCTGCTTTGGTCAACAAACAACACCCTTGGTACATCAGGAGATGTATGCATTGGGCAACTCTGCAATCAGGGATCTCTCCAAAATACTGAACAGCAATGATGTCAGTCTGAAGACTAGCGAGTGCCTGATTCAGGCCATCTTCTTTTTAATCACTTATGATACATCTGAGAACTGGACAATGAATAAGGATGACAAAAGAAGAATTGAGCTTCTTCTAAATAGATGGTGCTGAAAGCAAAGAAGGAAGCCCCTCTCAAAACTGAAGCCAAGTACACAGTTCGAATCCACCAGATGCTCTGCTGGAGAAGGAGGGACAATTTCCTCCTGTACCAGTCAGATCTGATTTGATGGTACATGCACAAAAAATAATAAAATTTAAAAAATTAAAAAAAAAAACAAACCAAAAAACTGAAGCCAAAGCAAAGGCATTAAAGGCCAAGAAGGCAGTTCTAAAGGACATCCACAGCCACTAAAAGAAGTAAGATCCAAACGTCACCCACCTTCTGGTGGCCTAAGACACTGAAATACCCCTGGAAGAGCACCCCCAGGAGAAACAAGCTTGACCACTATGCCATCCTCAAGTTTCCCCTGACCACTGAGTCAGCCATAAAGAAGATTGAAGATAACAACACATTTGTGTTCATTGTGGATGTCAAGGCCAACAAGCACCAAATCAAACAAGCTGTAAAGAAGCTCTATGACACTAATGTAGCCAAGGTCAATAACATCTTAATTAGGCCTGATGGAGAGAAGAAGGCATATGTTTGAATTGTTCCTGACTATGTTGCCACCAAAAAAACTGGGATCATAATAGCTGGCTAATTCTAAATACAATTTTTTCTTAAAAAAAAAAAATGATACCTTTGAGTTGTGTTAGAAAAGAGTTCTGAACATCTCATGGACTTCCAAAAGAATAAGCAGATTATGTCTTGGAAAAAGTACAGCTCCTTGGAGGCAAAAATGGTGAAGCGCTGTCTCTCATATTTTGGGCATGTTGCTAGGAAAGGCTGTTTCTTGGAGAGGGACATCATGCTTGAAAAGGCGGAGGGTCAGTGAAAGAGGAAGGCCTCCCAACAAGATGGATACATACAGTGACTGGAGCAATGGACTCAAGTGTGTCTGAGATAATGAAGGCAAAGGATAAGGCGGCGTTCAGGTCAGTCGTTGACAAGGTCACTATGAGTTGTTCTCGATTAGACTGCACCTAACAGGAACAAGAACAAGCCACCGGAGCCCCCTGTATTATGTCTTCGGAGTGGTTTACCCACTCCTAAACGAAGATTGATGAAAAATAATACACTGAAATCAGAATGGTGATAATAATGCTTTTTTGAATTAAAAAAAAAATTCAGGGTTTATTTTTGTTGTTTGTTTAGTTAACCAACTGATTTGAGTATTGTAGGAAACTCAATGAAATCAAGAGAGAAAAAGAAAATTCCTTATATTCTTTCTGTAGTGTAGAAACATTGCAAATTCAAAGAAACAACTTTATATTCAAATAGAAAAACTGAACCTATTTAGCAAGATGATTAGTAATGTGTTTTTCCCACTGTTATTATTTTCTCAAGGGAGGTCTCATGGTATAGTCCCGGGTGGCAGCTGCTCTGCTAACCCAAAGTCTGTGCCACTCTGCAGTTCAAATCCACCAGCAGCTCTGCAGAAGAAAGATGGACCACCTCTTCTCCTCTCCTGTCATTTACAGCCTTGACGAACCCACTGGAGGCTCAGCTATGAGCTGGTTCTGGCTCAATGACAAAAAAAAATGAATGAGAGATTAGTTTCTGTGGATCAGTTATCATAGCTAACACACCCTAAGTAGACTCCCCTTCCTCCACTGTACTTGTAACAACACTTTTATTCATTATCTTAAACTACATTTTTATGTTATCATTCCAATATTTCATATTACAACTACCACCCTTAAGAAAAGCAGCTTTAACATACTTAGTGCCAGGTATTATTGCAGGTACTTTACCTATATTTAATCAGCTGACAATCCTGTAAGGTAAAAACTAGTGTTAGGTATTGGGAGGTTAATGAACTTGTCCAAAACCAAACATAAACAAGGGTCGAGCTTTAAAATGGTTCATTCCACTTCAATTCCCTGCTGAGAATCTGCCTTTCTATGTATCTGGGTGCATCCACAATTTGAATGAAAGATCATTTGAATCTTGCTCCTCAGACTCTATAATTTTCAGATGATTACATACAGAGTTCAGTGAGCTTACTGACAATCCTGTCTTTTAATACTTTCACAATTATCAAACTGCATGAGCTCCTTTTCAGTTACAGTGCAATTTTCAAAATACTTACAGAAAAAGCTAAATGGTCTGTTGCCAAACCAAAATCACCTATTTTCACATGGTCATCAGAATCCAAAAAAATGTTGACAGGCTTCAAATCCCGGTGAATCATTCCCTGTTGGGAGACAGCACAAAAAAATCCCAATCATTGTTTCCCAAGCATACTTTGTAGTCATATTTGCTTCCTAATTTGAAAGGTCAATCTAGGGATGTAAATCAAGTAAGGTCTTCTCTTACAGAGTTCCCTTGCCCAAGCTATTTGGCTTCAGCAATGTGTCCCTGCTATTCAGCTAGTGAGTGCTCCATGGTCTCCCAGTTCTACCCAGTGATGGTCTCGACCAGGTCAAATCAAACAGCTCTATGTATACTACATTACCTTTCTCTCTGATGTACCACACAACCCAGAAGTGCACAGAAACCATTTCTATACTTTCCATTCCTTTTGTTGCACCATTTCCCTGCTTAAGAAACTCATTTGCTTCCCTTACTACCTATCTGGATTTTACCAACACCAGTCCTTGGGGAGGGATGCCATGCTTGGGAGGGTGGAGGGACAGCACAGGAGAAGATCCTCTATGAGGTGGATTGAGTCAGTGACTGGGGTAATGGGGGTAGGTGTGTCAGAGACAGTAAGATTGGCACAGGACAGAGCAGGGTTTAGGGTTGCTGTATATAGGGTCGCTATGAGTCATGGGTGATTTGACGGCACATAACAACAACAACAACAACACAACAGGTGTCAACTCACTGATGATGTCTCCTGCAATAAAGGTAACTTTGGTGTAATGGGCCTATTGATCAAAATGGCTTCTCTAGGCCACTGCCCTTGACTTTGTTACATGGCCAGTGGGAACATGCAATCCACGAGGAGACTGCTTAGTTTTGTCATTCTATCAGGTTTAAATTGAGCAGGTTCAGCAGAAATTTGAGACTCTCAACTACCAACAAGAAAGAAGCAGAGAATGCAATGTGTATCTTTTGGGACCAGACATTCTTGTACCAGTCAGACCTACAGGAGAGCAGCAGCACCTATAGCAGAGAACCAGAGACCCAATGTGATCCAGAGTTGATCTTGAGACTGCTACCCCATGGAACCAGAGCTAGAAGCCATCACTTAAGCTTGCTGGAGGACTAGGGGGAATGCTGTAACTGGAAAGGCTGGTCTTGGCCTAAAGTCACAAGACTGAAGGGCCTGCGAGTACACTTCAGAAGCTCTCCTAAACGAGAAATTTTATCCTGTTGCCAACCTGAGTTGCAGCCTGTTAAATTCCCTAAGTAAACTCATAATTGTAAGTATGGTTCTGTGAGGTCTATGCAGCTATTTCAATGGATTCTGGACTCAGCAGAATAATAGGACTGTTGTTGAAATTAGTAGGAATAAGTGAAGAGTGAGGGGCATGTCTGACCTTACGGGAATCAGCTTTATACTGTGGATGTTATGTTGTTCATGGGAACAGTCCTGCCTGGTCAAATTAACAGAGGTCAGACTCGGCTGCACCCACACCACTCTTGCTTTCTTTCTTTCTTTTTTAAAAAATTTTATTTTATTAATTTTAATGAACATTTTCAGAGATTTTGGATTTCCATTCATTCATTGTTGCACTTTTTTCTCTACCCCCCCCCCCACTTTCCCAGTTCGTTCCTCTCTTCAAAAAGCAAAAGATAAACTCCCTCATTGGTATACAATCCCCGCCCCACTGAATGCACCCCACTACACAACCTTAATTCGGGATTCCTGTGATAACAATAATTCCCTATCATATACTGCTCTTTTTACAGTAAAAATCCAATTTTGCATTTCTAGTACACACAGCAAGTGCTCAATAACTATTTGCCATGTGAACCTTGTTCTCTTCCCTATCAGCTCACTATGCTTACTGTTGCATTTAACATAGGAAATAGTGAAATAAAAACACTTTACTGTATGACCTTGTTTATTATTCCTGAGGTTAATTTTAGCTCCCTCAAAAAAAAAACCCCAAAAACACACCACACAACAAACCCCAAGATGTCCCTCTCAGGCATGGAGTTTGCCAAGTACTCCTGTCTCTCTGTATTTCTAGGTGTGATAGGTGTTAGACACCTGGCAGATGATTAGCAAATGAGCACAATGAAATGGTTCCAGGAGCCCAGGAGAGCCTCAGAGTGATAGAGTTCTACAGCTCCCATTCCAACTCATTCTAAAAAGAATCTTCTATCTTGTAAATTTGGTTTTTACTAGATCATTTATAAACTAGACACATTTCATTTACAGCCTTGACTTCTCAGTATAAATATGGCATAGCTCAAACATTTTAAGGTTAAAGAAAACAGAAGCAATGGAAAAACAAATATATTATCTAATGCACTACTAATTAATTTTTAAAATGTAAGCAGTATTTTATCCTGGAGTAAGGCCCATTATAATTTACATTGTAATGCCAATTTCTAGATTTAAAATGACTTTATACATGCTACAAACTATGTTTCCCTGCTTCTGTCCTTTTCGGATGCCTCTGGTGTTTTCCCATGTCCCTAAGAAGAGCAGCATTAATTCAGGCAAGACTCAAATAACTTGGCATATATTAGCCACACTCTCATTTTATTCTAAACACATGCTTACATATTTTCTTCTTATTCAGTGTATTATTACTAAATGATAAATATGAGGCTTTACACGCCACACTGTCTTGGTCACAACTACTCCACTCTGCTTTTATAGCATCAGAGCAGTCAGAGAAAATACATAAAACAAATTAAGTGTTGCTATGTCCCAACAAAACTTTATTTATATATACTGACATTGGAATTTCATATAATTTTCATGTGCATAAAGAAATATCTTCCATTTGATTTTCCCTCATCTATTTAAAAATATAAAACCAAGCTCTGCTTAAAAAGCCCTCTGTCCAGAAACAGTATTGGACTGGATTTACCTGTGATCTATAGTTTGCCAATCTTTGTCCTAACCTTTAATGTTTTCTTTGAACTTTGATACTTGGTACAATTTTTTAATCTTTTGATATTTTGTTCTATTCCCTATGAAAAGAGATTATATCATGATTCTATGTCATCAGCTCACTCATGTGACCATGCTGATTTGGTTTTTTTATATTCAATCTTGGACCCAATGTCCTCCACTGGTGTTACAAAGTTCATAAAGTCTGTGAAAGCTGGAACCTATGTAAGGCATAAATCTGTCAGAGAGAAAAACACACATATTTTACCTAACCTGTCAGAGGTGGAAAACCAAGGTAGTCTTTGTTCTCATAGATTTCATTACAGTAACAGGCAATAGGTAATAAGCAAATCTTGACGGTGAAAGGGTGTATTTTTACATCAAATGGGGGGCTTGAGAAGCACATAAGCTTTCTATTCTAAATTCAGAATAGATATGTAGACACAAAAACACATGCATACTTTCTCAATAAACTTATACTTCCTATTTTGTCTTCCATTTTCATATTTGACTTTTTTTAGTCATAAATTCTACATAAATAGATTTTCAGATAATAAAGAAAAAGAAAGTTTACCTTTTCATGGATATAAGCTAATCCATCCAGAATCTCCCGAAAAAGCCTCCACAGTCTTACAGTGTCTCGATACAGTCCCTGGTCAATGGTGTCACGCAGTGTGCTCTTCTCACAGTACTCCATCTATAGGTGACAACAGAGTGGTCAGGTTCTGACTACACAGTCTAAATTAAGGAAGATAATGACAAGTCATCATCCACTTAAAGACCATGGATTTTAAACACTATGAATTTTTTAATTAAAAAAATAAACTAAAAATATTAACAAAACTATGGGGATTATTCATAATCTCAGCACCATAATAAAATCATTTTAACTTTCTGTATCATCACTTATTCTAAATACATAAAATTTACCTTGTTTAAAATCCTTGGCACAATTAAATAACAGAAAAAAACTCGTGAGAATTAAGTAAAATTTTAGTTGTTTTACATGCTTGCCTCCAAACCTAGTTTTACAAGAAGGGTTAATGAATGATAGTGTTGGTCTTTTTATCTGTAATTAAATGAATGACAAAATACTGTCAAGTCTAGAACAAAACACGTAAATATGAAAACATTCAGAAAGGGCTTTGTCGGAATCCTTTTAAGTATATGAACGTATCAGAAAACAAAGCAATGCATTTAAATCACATGACCTATGAAATGAACCTGTATGTTTCAACCAGTGCTTGGGAAAACCAGAAATTATTGTTTTTTAAAGAGAAACATATGTATTTGCCCTTTCTCTTACCCTATGAAGACCACGGCAAATTCTGACTCAACTTCTAGGTCTCAGCCAGATCCTCACAAAGCCTTCTCTGCCTTTTACTCCACAATCCCACTTACCTCCTACATACCTCCCTCATGTACGGAGTCTATATCTTTATAATTACAGTTTATATAGTAGATACTCAATAAGTAGCTGCTTGAAGGAAAAAAAACCCGTGTTATTATGCATATCAGTGGTATTTCACCTCAAAATTATTTATATGTGTTAGGAAATCCCTAAAATCACCTCCAATCTCAGCAAAGTAATTACCTTGTTTCTTTCGAAACATTGCCATCTCTTCTGTATTACTGTATTTCACATTTAAAGATGGGTCTGCCTGCAGATCTAACTGGACATGTAAATAATGACCCACAGTCCTGGTTATGTGGGTACAGTGAAAACTTCTTTGGTTTACAGCCATCCCTCAGCTGGAACAGCCCTCATTGTTCTGGATGCTGTCCCTCAGCTATGTCAGCAGGCAAAAGCCCAGGCCCATGTTCAAGAACACCTCAGGGGAACTGACTGCCCTGTACCTCTTCTGACCCAGAGGTTCGCAGGCTACTTTCTCTGAAGCCATGCTAGGGCTTTCTCTGCAAGCCTGTAGACAGGAGCGTACAGGCTTCTAGTTGTTAGAGAAAGTGGAGTTTATTATGAGGATGCAGTCCAGTATTTACTGAATTCCAACATGGTTCCAAGCATTTTACACACATCATTTCTGCCTCACAACAAGTCTTCCATAAAGACGTTTATTTACTTTGTACCTAGGGATTTACAAGGTGTTCAAGAAATCTTGTCTGAAAGGTAAGTGATGAGTTCAGGATTTTAACTTAAGCAGGTTTAGTCCAGGTCATAACCACTGCCTTATGTTATGCTGCCTTCCTCAATGAACTGAACTGATGCAGTGCCTGCAAAAATGGGCTTGAATATAGTGATTGTGACTATGGAGAGAGCAGTATCGGGCACCACTTTATGCAGTTACACATAGGGCTGCATGAGTTGGAGTTGATTTAATGGCATCTAACAATTATAACATGCTACCTCCTGCATAGGAGAAGAGGAGTTCAAGGTTGAGAGCAAGGCTTTTATCCTTTCTGGAAAATTCACCTTTAGGGTGCCTGTGACTCTTCGCCTTCTCATTGCCTTATTCCAGCTTCCTGAAACACTATGGCTACAACTAGGGGCTGTCTTATTGCCAAGCTGCGGGCCAGGGCCTTACCTGGATGTACAGGTAGTGCACAGCCTCGGTTGTCACTGACGGTTCACTTTCACGGCAACTGTTCTTTTGACTGCAGTCTTCATTCTAATGCAAGAGGAACACATGAGAATTCAAAATAGCAACTGAAATGAGACAAGATCATTATCATCACCATCAAGTATTTGACTCCTTCCCTCTATATGCCATTAGAGAAGGGTCAGTGATCAGACAAAACCACTGTCCTGCAAAAGCAATTCTGCTATTGCCAAAATCCACTAGATCATTTGTAGGTCGCTACTATATAGACCAATGAAGGGGCAAATGAGAAATGGGTAGGTAATCTACAGAAGGATTCCATGGCAAGCCACTTCCTTCTCACCACTGAGATCCTTCTATATGGATAAGACTGATAGGCTAATATTTTAAAGTTCTACTTTTATTGGAAGGCCTTCCTTTGGTGGAAACAAATGATTAAAAAGCCATCTTTAGCTGAAACAATTTAAATACAATTTAAAGAGCATAGCACCCTCTGGGCTATCACTCTGAAGAACAAGCACTCAGCTGCTACTTTGAACTTCTAGGCTATGTCTCACCTGGATTAGTTTGTCCTCAATGGCTAATTAATTTGCTTTCTAATATACAGCCCTTTAAAAATTTTTTTCCCCTAATACTTACCTTTTTGTACTGTTTTCTCAAGTAAGGAAAAACATTATTTAGCATTTAATTATTTGTTTGACAGCTATTCTGAAAAAGCAACTTTCAATACATTTCTTTTAACACAGAAAAAAATAAACCCAACACAAAACCAAAAGTCTGCCTTGAAAACAAGTCACATTCTTCTCTTATGATAAACTCTAGGAATTAGACATAAAAAATGGTCAATCTTTCATGTATCCTAAAACTAAGTACACTTCTGCTTTAGCAGAAAGTGAAATTATTTAAGGAGCCCTGGTGGTGCAGCATGTCAGGGAGCTAACTGGCAGGTCAGCAGTTGGAAGAAAAGATGCCCAGTCTTTCCTAAAGATCTACAGCCTCTGGAAACTGATGAAAGGTCCTAGGAGTCAGAATGGATTTGGTGGCGGTGGGTTTTTGTTGTTGCTATTAGATTATTTCTGCTATTATTCTCGGAAAAGTTCTTTATGCATTTTTAACCATGAGGAGTTTCAAGGCAATTTTAGTAAATGTTTACACAAAAGTTGGTTGAAGTATTGGTTTATAATTCCTTCAAATGAATTTACTTACTCATCTGACAGCGTTTCCCCCCCATCTACTATGCATGCACCTTCATGATTGCTTATAATTATATTTTTAATCTTGGTTATTATTGTTGCTGTTGTTTGGTGCTGTAGAATCAGGCACAACGCATAGCGATCCTATGAACAAAGGATCTGAACCCTGCTCTATCCTCACACTTCCTAACACACAAGAGTCCATTGCAGTAGTCACTCTATCAATCAATCTGGCTGAGGGTCTTTCTCTCCTTCACTGACCCTCCACCCTTCCAAACATCATGTCCCTCTCCAAGCAATAGCCGCTCTTAACAACATGTCCAAAGTCTGTGAGGCAAAGCCTCATCATTCTTGCCCCCAAAAAGGACTCTGGCTGCACCCTCTCCAAGACATATCTCTTCATTTTCTTGCCTGTCCATGGGATGTTCAGTGCTCTTCTCCAACATCACAGCTCAAAGGCATCAATTCTTGTCATCCTTATTCATAGTTCAGCTCTCAGATACATAGCGAGTAACTGTAAAGACCATGGCCTCAATCAGATGTACCTTAATCTTTAAAGTGTCATCACTATTCCTCAATAATTTGGAAAGGTCCCTAACTGCAGATTTTCCCATTGTAATGCGTCTTCTTATCTTCTGACTGCTGGTACCAAGGCTGTTAATTATAGATCCAAGCAAGATGAAGCTGTTGACGGTTTCAACCTCATTTCCATTTATCATGACATTGCCTATTGGTCCAGTGGTAAGAATCTTTGTTTTCCTGACACTGGGATGCAATCCATACAGAAGGCTGCATTCCTTGATCTTCTGCAACAAGTGCTTCAAGCTCTTCTCACTTTCAGTAAGTAAGGTTGTGTCATGTGCATAACACAGGTTATTAATGAATCTCCCCCCAATCCTGATGCCACACTCCTCCTCATAAAGTCCAGCTTCTCAGATAATTTGCTGTAATAAAGTCATAACATTGAACCTCTGGTTGCATGTTTATCTGCAGTAAGAGCTGACAGACCTAGCAGCTTCACCATTAAGTTCCATGCACCACTGAGTGGACTGAGGCCTGAAACAGTGCTGGTCAAACATGTTTTACCACAATTCATATCAAGAAATATATTTTACGTCACATAAACATACATGAGAAAACAATTCTACAGAGTGTTTCTTTACTAGTATGGTGCATTTTGTTATTCTCTACTATTCTCTCCTATATTAAAAATTAAATTTAGCAATCATGGTCCTCTAAATTGATTTCATAATCCACAACATGGTCATGACTCACAGTTTAAAAATGATGCTCTAAAACCTTTCCAGGTATCATAAAAAATGAGGAAATGCACAATCAAGAAGCTTAGCAAATTCCAAATTGACTAGACTTCAAAAGAAAAACATAAAAGACATATTATTGCAAAATTCTCCAAAATCAAAGACAAGGATAGAATACTAAAAGTATGCAAAAACAAACAAACAAAAAAACACCCAGTAAGCAATAAATAAGAACAAATTAGATTACGCTTTGACTTCTCAGCAGAAACCATTCGAGAAAGAAGACAAAGGGATAGCATTTGATAATGTTAAAAGAAACAAACAGCCAGTCCAGAATTCTATACCAGTAAAGCTTTCCACCAAATATGGAGAAATTAGATCGTTGCAGATAAACAGTAAATTAAAGAATTCAGAAAACAAGACCAATTCTACAAGAACTACTAAGTACTTCACACAAAAACAGCAGAATGGACCAAAGTAACCAGCAACTACAGGAACACAGTAAATGGCAAAAATTTAAAAAAAAAAAAAGGAGTCAGGATTAACTGATGTTGGAGAGAATGCGCATGTAATCTGCAGCCACCCGTACAAATAACTCAACGCAACCACTGCCATCACATCTGAACTGACTCATAGATGTCCCTCCAGGGGCTTTCAGAGCCTATTAGTCACACGAGGGGGCAAGCCCATCCTCCTAAGAAGCAGGCGGAAGATTAAAACTGCCTGCCTCTGGGTTGGCAGTGCAACTCTTTACCTACTAGGCCACCAGGGCTTCCACAAATAAATACACATCTACCAAATCCTTCTGGAAATGGTTTCATGAAAATATATAAAGCATTGTCTAATCTGCTCTTCTTATCTCAAAGCAGGCATATTTGGATAAATAAGTCTATAAACATATGAATATATATTTTGAACAAATGATGACATTTTTAAATTGATGATATCTACATTTGTATGTCAGAATGATTTATTATTTTATCTGTTTATATTTTCAAATGCTTGTTTTTTCACACAACACTCTATAAAATGGTGTATAATTTCTATAGTTACCTGATGCCGACTTTTACTGTTCTCATCTTCATTGTCAAAGATTATATCACTTTCAGAATTGGAAGCAGGCCTTAAAAGAGAAATAGAGAAAGCAGTGTCTTAAAGCTCTAAAGATCAACAGTCTAATGCATTACCAGATGGCAAAGAGGCTGGAGATTATAGCATCACCCCAGGGGCATACAACTATATACATCACCACACTGATCTTTCCCAATACACAAAATGTGGAATTCCTGATATAAGGAAGAACTGGCCTCATATTCCTGAAAAAAAGTTAATAGCTAAGAGTATGATAAATTCTATTCAATCAGATTCAGTGAAATAAAATCAAGTCTCTCTTTCTCTCACAACACACCCTCCCCCAAGTCACAATTACAAAAGTAAATGACCACAGTGGATTCTGAGGCACGTAAGCAATAGTTTAGGATCCTCATTATCGATTTGGTAATCTTTACTTGAGCTGCAGGAGGCCCTATAACATGACTTCAAATTAGTTTTGAAAATGTTCCATAGAAAGCTTCCAAAAAAATTCTACCAAACGAATTAAGATCAAATATCAAAAGTATTTCCTATCTTGCTTTTTGCCAGGGACTGAATTTTGGTGATCTTTTGAAAAGAATAGGGAGAGTGGGAGCCTTTAGACTCCATCTGAGCAGCGTCTAAAGGTGGGTTTGTTTTTTAAAACGTGGTTAACAGCCTGTATTTCTGTTTCTTTTCCCCGTCTGGGACTTGGTTGAGATTGAAACCCGTGGTGGGGTCGTCCCACCGGCTGTGCCCTTACAGGAATGACTGTGAGAAGACACCCTCATGGTCCTCCTCATCATCCTCCTCGTCGCTGCTGGAGCCTGTGCCATCGGCAGGGAAGCGGGCGCTGGCTGAGCGCTCGCAGGACGTGCTCCACTCCACTGAGCTGGTGAGGATGGGCGGTGGCGCCGCGGCCTCCACGCTGTCTGTGTCACCCTGGGGTGACCCCGGTGCGTCCCGCCCATTGCGAGTCTGCGGACTCGAGTCTGTGGTTGAGGGCGGTGATCCCTGACCAGCTGGGCGCTCGTGTCTCTCGATCCACGCGTTATAGTAGCGCACGATGTTCTCATGATGCAGGCGCGACAGCAGTGTCACCTCGCCCTTGATCCTGCGGAAGTGCTTGCTGGCAGGGTTGATGGGGATGCGCTTCACGGCGTAGCTGCAGCCGTCCAGCTTGTTCTGCACCTGTAGTGGAGCAACGCCATCTCCATTTTAGTCCTTAGTTTTATTGACAGTGACTTTTCTGCTTTTCCAAGAACACATCTGCTTGCTAACTTTCTAAGTAAACCTTGTTTTTAAAAGAATTAAATTTTTTTAAATCTGTGACATCTTTCAAATGATTTTCGTTTTTTCAGGTTTGTTTTCCCCCCCACTTAGAGTCACTAAACACAAATTAAATGCAGGCATTTTAACAGATCTAAGTGCAAATTAGAATTCTTTGATTTACAGAGCTATGAGGATTTTGGAAATTATGTAATTTCTACAAGACTCAATTGTCTTATCTAGAAAAATACCCTCATTAAAAAAGTGACTGTAAGAACGAAATAACATGAGTAAAGCACCTTTATCCAGGCCTCACAGAAAAAGGTGCTCAATAAATAATTGCTCTTAATGCAATTACTACTCATCGATTTGGTTACAGAGGCTGAAGATTTATGACTGCTGTGAATGCATTCAGCTGCTCTGTTGCCATGGTGTTCCATGTGTGGAGCAGACCTGCCCTACAGAGTTTTCAAGGCTGTGACCTTGGGAGCAGATTTTTCAGACCTGTCTGGGTAGGTTCAGCTGCCAATCTTTTAGCTAGTAGTTAAAAAAAATCATTTGGGCCAGCCAGGAATCTGTACTGAAAGGATAATATAACTAAGAGCAGGGTAAAGGGGGAGGGGAGAGGAAATGTTTCGTGGGCAATCCTCCAAAGGCCCATTTTTATCCTGGGCAGCTTACTAAAAATTGTGTTGACTAAAGGGAGCTCTGGTGGTTTAATGGTAAGGAACTGCATTGCCAAGGCAAAGGTATATGGTTCTACTCCACCAGGTGCTTCACAGGAGAAAGGTGAGCAATCCCCTCCTGTGTGATTCACTGCTCTGAAAACTCACTGGAGGGGTTTGACTTGATGGTTCACAACAACAAAGTAACTTTTAGGGAGCTCTGGTGGCCTAGTGGGTAAGGAATTACACTTCCAACACAAAGGCAGGTGATTCAAAACCACCCGCTACTCCAAAGGAGAGAGATGGGCAATCTCTCCCCAGGTAATTTACAGGCTCTGAAAATTCACTGGAGGGTCAGTCATATGTGAGTCTGTTCCAACTCAATGGCTGCGAGTGAGTGAAAGTAACTTTCAGTACATTTTGTTCCTAGCACATCCCCCTAATTGTACAGATCAAATGAGCTGTGATACAGAGCAGAGGAGAAACAACGTAGCTTTGGGCAGAGGGAGAAACCAGCTGATTATACATTCTTGTTTGCCTCATGGGTTGTATTGTTGAGTAGCATTGAGTCAGAACTAATTCATAACTGACCCTCTGATGGGTTTTCAGAGTCAGTTAATTGTATGGGAATCCTTTTCCCGCAGAGCTGGTGGATTCAAACCATGGGCCTTTGGGACTGCAACACAGTTTTTTACTACTAGCCACCAGAGCTCCCTCATAGGTTTTCATGAATGTATTATTTGAAATGTCTAGGAATGAGAAAGGAGCACTGAAAATCGAGTTTCAGGTTACTTATTTTGTTACAGGTTATTGAGTTACAGGTCTTCAGAATGTTGGTTCCAATTCTTAGTAACTATAAACTCAGGCAAATTACCTCAACTCTTCTGAGACTTAATCCCTCAGCTGAAAAAATGAGAATAATACCTATCTCATAACAAAGCCAGGAGACTGAAAGACTTTGTAAAATACCAAGGACAAAACCAGAAAACATGGAATGTGTTTTCTATTCATATACTTACTCTGTTTGTCTTAATTTTTTTTTTTTATTATTTTTGTGTGCGTGTACTGTCAAATCAGATCTGACTGGTACAGGAGGAGATTGCCCCTCCTTCCCCGGCAGAGCATCTGGTGGATTCGAACCGTGCACCTCTGGGATTGTAGTTGCAGCTTCTTGCCACTAGGCCACCAGAGCTCCCCTTGTTTGTCTTAATTAAGCTCCACTACAAGAAGGAAGATTTATAAATACTGGAAGTGACCGACTGGAAAGTTATACTGCAAACTCCTGGGAATTCATTTATTAAAACAGAAAATGTGTATCAGTACCAAGCCAATCAATTGCCTACAAAATGCTGAGCAGTCTTCTGTACTTTCTGTTAATATGGAAATAGAAATTAGGTACGGGAAACACTACAGAAAAAAAAAACACTTTGGTGCTTAAACTGCAAAGATATTTGTATTATATGGAGTTCTTGATGGTATAAATCATTAATATACGTGGCTGCTAATCAAAGGCTGTAGGTTCAATGATGTCAGAAGTACCTTGGAAGAAAGTCCTGGAAATCTATTCAGAAAAAAACCATCCATTGAAAATCCTGGAGAGCACAGTTTTACTCTGATAAACATGGCATTGCCACGAGTTGGAGTCAACTGGCTTTTTTTCCATTTGCTATGTAAGCTCATTATTCTTAAGTACTTACAAGGAAATGAAGATACTGATAATTATTTTATTTAAAGAAATTTTATGTTAGGACATGATCAAAATTACATTGTGAGCTAAAGGAAGAGTGTACGGCTGAATCTTGCATTCCTCTATATAATAACTATGATCATCCTGCTCAGGACAGTCATCTCTGTCTAGTCCACCCAAACTCATTGCCATTCAGTTGGAATAGGCTCATAGTTGACCCTACTCATTGTAGATGAGTTGGAACTGACGCAGAGCTGACCTTCCAACAGGTTGTCAGAGGCTGTACATCACAAGGGAAGAGATTACCTTTCTCTTGCACAGCTACAGAGGCACACACCTTTGGCTTAGAAGTGTACCTGCTAGGCTACCCGAGCTCCTTGTTTGTTTGCATACCTACTATGTCTCCTAACTTAATATCTATGTTGTTGTTGTTGTTATGTGCCGCCGAGTTGCTGGGACTCATAGTGACCCTATGTACAACAGCCCTAAACCCTGCTCTATCTTGTGCCAATCGCACTGCCTCTGACCTCCCACCCCGATTACCCCAGTCACTGAATCAATCCACCTCATAGAGGGTCTTCCCCTGCTGCACTGTCCCTCCACCCTACCAAGCATGATGTCCCTCTCCAAGGACCGGTCAGTCCCTCCTTACAACATGTCCAAAGTATGTCAGATGAAGCCTCAGAATCCTTGCCTCCAAGGAACAGCTCGGTTTAATCCTCTCCAGGATGAATCTGTTTGTTTTCCTAGTAGTCCATGGTACACTTCTCCAGCGCCACAGCTCAAAGGCATCAATTCTCCTTCTATCCTCTCTAGTCACTGTCCAACTTTCTGACAAATAACAAATGATTGCAAAGACCCTGGCCTATATCAGACACACTGTAGTCTCCAGAGTGACACCATTGCTCTTCAGTACCCTGGAGAGGTCCCTAACAGTAGACTTCCCCATCGCAATACATCTTTTAGTTTCCTTGCTGCTGTTGTTAACTGTGGAGCCAAGCAAACAAAAATTGTGAACAATCTCAATCTCTTCACCATCCATCCTGATGCTGCCAATTGGTCCAGTGGTGAGAATCTTTGTCTTCTTGATATTGAGCCTCAATCCATATTGGAGGCTGCAGTCTTTGATCCTCTGCAGCAAATGCTTCAGGTCCTCCTCAGTTTCAGCAAGCAAGGTTGTATCATCTGCATAACGCTGATTGTTGATGGATCTTCCACCCAATCCTGACGCCACATTTTTCCTCATTGAGCCTAGCCTCCCAGATAATCTGCTCTGCATACAGGTTGAAAAGGTATGAAGACAGGACACATCCCTAGCGTACGCCCTTCCCAATTATGAACTATGCAGTGTTTCCTTGCTCTTTTCTGACAATTGCATCTTGGTCCAAGAATAAGTTTCACATTAGCACGATCAAGTGTTCTGGCATTCCCATTCTTCTCAGAGTCAGCCATAGTTTGTTATGATCCACACAGTGAAACGCCTTTGCATAATCAATGAAACACAGATAGACATTCCTCTGGTATTCCCTGCTTTCAGCCAAGATCCATCTAACATTAGCTACAATATCCCTAGTACCACGAACCCTTCTAAACCCAGTCTGGTCTTCCGGCAGTTCTCTGCTGATGTGCTGTTCCAGTCGTTTTTGGATAATCTTCAGTAGAATCTTGCTTGCATGTGAAATCATTGATACTGTTCTATAGTTTCCACACTCTGTTGGGTCACCCTTCTTTGGAATGGGAACAAATACAGATCTCTTTCAGTCAGCTCGCCAAGTGGTTGCTCTCCAGATTTCCAGGCACAACTTGGAGAGCACCTCCAGGGCAGCATCTGTTAGCTGAAATATGTCAATTGGTATACCATCTATTCCTGGGGCCTTATTTTTTGCTATTTCCTTCAAAGCAGCTTGAACTTCTTCCTTCACCACCATAAGCTTGCTCATATGTTATTTCATTAAATTCTTCTGTGTCTGCCAATTCCTTTCGATACAGTGACTCAGTATATTCTTTCCATCTTCTTTTAATACTTCCTGGATCATTTAATATTCTGCCTAAAGCATCCTTGATTACAGCAACTTGAGGTTTGAATTTGTTCGCAGGATGCTCAGAGGGGAATAGAGAGGAATCCTCACAGGCAGAGAAGCAGGCCAGCACAAAGGCTACTCAGAAAACACTGCCTCACCCTGCCCCACCCCACAGGTAAACAAGAAGGTAAACTTAAGATCTATACATTAAACAAAACTAAACTAAAACTTCTTTTTGAAAACTTGTTTAAGATCATCTTTCTGTCTCTGCTTACTGCAGAAAAAAATGATTTTTCTTTTTTTGTGTGTAAAAGGTCTTCCCCATAATAGTAGCATGTTATTTCCTAGTTTAGTAATATTTCCTAATGATAACCTCAGATGCCAATACTGAAATAGATTTTATTGATAGTGGACCACCTTCAGATGTGACAGATGACCTGCCTATACCGTATAATGGTTTAATAATAAGGTATTAATCTGGATCTAAATCCAATAACAATAATTATATAAAAGCAGTTGAAATCCCCCTTTTCAAGGGGCAGATAATAAAAGCTACGCAAACAGCCTGGAATGAAGAACAGAAAACCTAACAGCAGGACACAGTAATAACATATAACATCTTCCAGCTCAATAATAGGCAGAAAATAAGAGCCATCAAAACCATCTGGGGCCATTTCCCAGTTAGAGCTCCATCTCTGTTCTAACCTTGGAACCCTTTTAGCCACTGCTACATTAATGGCAAATAGAAGAAAGGGAGGACAATTTTCTTTCTGAACCAAAGTACACAAAAATGCCTCATTTTAAGGTCCTGTCTCCACTTGAAGTAAATTTTTATTTAAAATATTTAAAAAATATTTAATTTTCTTTTCCATGTTAATGCTCTATATCAAGCAAGAAGACAGGCATGATATGTCCCCAGTGTGTCCAATATAACCTTAAATAAAGCCTTTAACCCTAAACAGGTGAGGATGATCAAATTGTGCCATTAAGCTTCCCTCCCAAGTCCCTACAGAGAAATCAACCCCATAAGACTTTGTTGAAATTAAACAAGAAAGCTCTAATGAGAACTGGGAGTAACTCTGTATCACACCTTGATGACAGCTCCAAAGGCTCCTTTGCCAAGAAGTTGTAGTTCTTCAAACTCATTGAAATAGCGTGAAAACTGTCTCTGTGTTTCACTGAAGAATGCAGCACTGGGTAGCTGGTTGCTAGGAATCACAGTCTCAACATAATCTTGTCCTCCAGAATCTGAAATCACACAAACAGTAAGAGGCAAATAAGACATAAAAATACAAAAGAGCTACAACATCCAACAAGGGGCCAAGCACTGGAAGAAAGGTTTTAGCCCAGTAGATTATAAAAACATCTTATATTGGGTAGATCTTTTAGTAACTTTTTTGACTTGTTCTTAAAGTAAGTTGTTGCTAGGTACTGTGGAATACAACTCATAGCGATCCTATGAACATTTCTGAACACTATCCTATCCTGTGCCATCCTCATCATCTCTGACACACTTGAGCTCATTGATGCAGTCATTGTGTCAAATCATCTTGTTGAGGGTCTTCCTTTCTCTGACCCTCCACCTTTCCAAGCACAATGTCCTTTACCAAGCAATAGCCTCCCCTAGCAACATATCCAAAGCATGTATTTTGATGGTAAAGTCAGCTGTTAGGGACCTTTCCAAAGTACTAAAGGGCAATGGTGTCTCTCTGGAAACTAAGTTGCATCTTATACAGGCCATGGTCTTTGCAATCACTTGTTATGAATCAGGAAGTTGGACAATGACTAGGGAGGATAGAAGGAGAATTGATGCCTTTGGGCTGTGGCGCTAGAGAAGAGTATTGTGGGTACCATGGACTAACAAGAAAACAGATTCATCCTGGAGAGGGTTAAACTGGGCTGCTCCTTGGAGGCAAGAATTCTAAGGTTTCGTCTAACATACTTTGGACATGCTGTAAGGAGAGACTGATCCTTGGAGAGGGACATCATGCTTGGGAGGGTGGAGGGACGGCGCAGGAGGGGAAGGCCCTCTATGAGGTGGACTGATTCAGTGACTGAGGTAATCTGGGTGGGTGTATTGGAGACAGTGCAACTGGCACAGGACAGAGCAGAGTTCAGGGCTGTTGTACATAGGGTCGCTATGAGTCGCAAGCGACTTGATGGCACACAACAACAATATTAGAATGATTGTATGAAACACAATGTGAATGAAGAATATTGTGAAACACAACATATATAAACTTTGTAAGCAAACCAATAAAAAAAAAAGTAAAATTTAAAAAAGTCCTCTTAAACTGCACTTGTCCCTTTGTTACTAAATTCATTTAACATAACATTCTAGAGACTCATCCATAGTGTACAGAGTTTCTTGAGATCTCACTTGCTTTTCAATGCTGCATTAAACTTTGTTGTGTGACTATACCACAATTTCTCCATCCATTCATTTGTTGATGGATGTTTGGGTTGCTTCAATCTCTTTGCTATTGTGACTAATGCTGAAATAAACATGGGCACGCCTATTATCTGTGTTTTATGTCTGTTTACTTTGAAGAAGATTTCTTTTTTTTGAAGAAGAAGAAGAAGATTTCTAATACTGTGATAGATGGGTTATATGGATTTTCTATTTTCAGTCTTCTGAGGAAGCACCAGACTGCTTTCCATAGTGATTATACCATTTTACAGTCCCATAGCAATGCACGAAGGTTTCAATCTCTCTACATCCTCCATGAGGCTGTAAATTTTTTTTTTTAAGTTTCAATAAAAATTTCTATTCCGGTTTGGTCAGTACAAGTACCAGATATATTGGGAGTCACAGAACAATATGCATTATCAGGATACAACAATTTATAAAAACTCAGCAACTATGCACACAATTTCCTAAACATTCAGTCACCTAAAGAGAAAATGCACAGACGTATGGTGGAAAAAACTGTTTTCTAACACAGAAACTACTACAGGACCTCATCCACAAGTCCAACTTTTAGTGAGAAAACTAGTGTAGTGGGCAAACTTGGCAGTCTTCAGCCACATCTACTATAATATAATAACTCTGACTGTTGCATAAGGATAATAACAGCAGGAATAAGAATGCCCTTACCCAGCACAGGTTTTAGATATATACAGATTTATACAGACATCATTGTGTTATACTTTAAGAAAGATTTCCATTTACAACTTCACATTAACTCATATAAAAATAACTTGACCCTATAGAAAATGTCCTTTTAGCAACACTCAAAGTAAGTAATTGGTACAATTTCCAAAGTGGCAGAGGTATTGAAGCAAAACAAACAAACAAACAAACAAAAAACACAACAAACCACAAAAAAAAACCCAAAAAAAGAAAAACAAAAGGAAAAGAAAAAAAAACATACACCCACAAAAAAGGCAGAGACAGCTCATCTTTTTCCTTTGGAATGAATGGTGGACTGACCTTCTGGTTAAGCAGTTCAATTATAACATGCCACACCCTTAAAGCTCTTTAGGACTAATGGAAAAAAAAAGCTCCTTAGCACTAAATAAAAGAAACCTCCTACACAACAATAAGTCTAAGAGTTTTTGATATAGTGGTGTAGAGAACAGATTAAATAAATAGTGCAAGCAATTCTACCAATTTTAGATTTACATATAATTTCCAAAAATTTAATGTCAAACAAGAAATCTAAAGAATGGCCAGAGACTCACCTTCAGGACTTTGGTCCAGTAAAGGCGTTTTTGGCTGAGGATTTATAAAGCTGTGTTTTAACAACTGCTGAGGACTCCATCGTTCCTTGTCATCCAAGCAAACACACCTCAGTGAGATGGAAGGAAGAATCTCAGCAACACACAAAATAGATGCTAAACCAGTTAATGCAAGGCATTTAATGAAGGCTTACTTGTAAAAGATAGACATTTAAAGAGTTCATGTTACTGGAGGACCAATAAGTACTCATAAACCAACTGAAATCAATACACATTTCTGCAGGGTTTAAAACAACAAGTCAAGAGGAAACTTCAGCCTGTAAAGGCAGAAAATTGTTCCTTTTACAGAGAAATATTTTAGTAAGTCTCAGATCACACATGCGAACTCTAGATATTTGGTCGCATGAACAGCTAATGACTTGTCATACTTTTAAGGGGCTAGTTCTTAATTCAGCTTTCCAAAGGGAAAGCCTATCATACAGCCAGTGGAAGGCTGGGCCTAGGAACAGTAAACTTTAAATGAAGTCTGATGAATATAATAAGAAGTAATTTAGAAATATTTAAGGGATGATTTTCTAAAGTTCTACATTTTACCATTTATTTTCTTTTAACTTTAGCTCCTTGAGTCTATTCATTTACTCTTTAATACCCTGAAAAATTTCTTTTCAATTTTGTTCTTTTTTTTTAAATTTTGTGTACGTGTACCGTCAAATCAGATCTGACTGGTACAGGAGGATATTGTGCCTCCTTCTCCGGCAGAGCGTCTGGTGGATTCAAACCGTGTTCCTCTGGGATTGCAGTGCAGTTTCTTGCCACTAGGCCACCAGAGCTCCCCCTCAATTTTGTTCTTAAAATTTTAGTTATTATTGTTGAAAATATGTACAAACATACACATCAATTCAACAATTTTCATATGTACAATTCTGTGTCATCAATTATATTCTTCAACCTGTGTAGAGCTATGTTTAAAAAAGAACACGTAATATTATTGCTAATTTACTGTTCTTTTTCCCCCAAAGCTAATTTACTACTCTTGACTAATGAAGAAGGGCAGAAAGCTAGAGGCAAAGTTTTGCAGACTAAAATGAGCCTTCCCTTCAGTGGTTCTCCACCATATTTCTTTGAGGTCATCTTAGTCTTATCAGGGCACAACTGAAATATTTCAAAGTTCAAGTACATTTAAATGATATTTACACCATCTTTTCAACTGTGATACTTCGATTCACAGGTTTTGGATATGTTATCAGGAGGGTTCAGTTCCTGAGAATGACATCATATATGGTATAATAGGACAGAAAAAAAAGGACGATTTTCAACAAGATGGACTGACACAGTAGTTCCAACAGTGGGCTTAAACATAGCAACAACTGTATGAATGGAGGGTTGTTGTAAAGTAAGAACTGACCCACAGCTGGCCCTCCAGAGGCAGTCAATCACATGGGTGGAGACTGTCCATCCTTCTCCTGCAGCTGTCATTCTCAGGAACGCTATCCTTAACGCTAGCTGACTAACAGAAAGGTTTATATTCAATTTATGCTCTGATGATTATAATTTCTATTGTGATTTTTTTAAATCACTTAGAAAATTCTTCAACTTTGTAAAATGAACATGCAAATACAAAAAAGGGGGGGGTGCTCATGTGTGTGGGGTGGGGGGCAGGGGCATGAAATCAGGCCAGGTCAGCTTTTGCAAGAAATATCTAGAAAAACTCAGACTGAAAGGAGGTTGTTTCCTATTTAACAGAGAAACTGAGAGCATTTAGCTCTGGTTTGGACCAGTGACCAGAGGCAAGGCTAAACAGGCGAAGACTGATTGGAAGGATCTGACCAAAGGCCCTCAGTAAGAACACTCTCAAACTGGACAGGATTTGGCCCTGTAATTCAAATTAACACCGGTAACTAACCTCTCCCTAGAGTGAAGACACTACTGCATTCTACAACTTGGATGAATGACAATGCTAATAAAGAGTAGTTAAGTACATGGGGTAGAATTGCATTCCTCCTAACGCTGCTTGCTTAAATATGAGGTCTCAACTGTGATCTCTTAAGAATCAGCAGCAAAAATAAATAGAGAGGGTCTTCTATTTGGAATATTTGGTTATTTCTCATTTCAATCCCTACAGACCTTCTAGAACACTGCAGGCAGTCATTAAAAGTGACTTTAGTCAGTCTAGGAGAATCTGGGAGCTAAGAGAATGACAACTGTATAAGGTAAACAGAAAATATATGTCATAGAAAGTATTTGAGCAAGAGTGAACTCTAATCCAGATTCTAATCAGTGTATACATCACAGAAGTACTTAGCACACCCAGGCACCATCAAAAGTATAGGAATAAAAAAAGAAGTGTAGGAATAAAATTTGATTAGAGATTCTCAGTGATACTTACTTCTTAAGAAAGTCTTGAAAGTCAGCTGGTAAGTCACTAGGGATGGTCACCGGGTACTCTTCACACTCTCGGCCTTGGCTGAGCGATAGCAGTAGGAAGCCAAGACACCAGACATCTCCTTTCTTCCCCGTTTTGTAAGGCAGGGTACTGTTACTAAAGTGAACTCGTGTTTGCTGGAAAAGATCCTCCTTGCAGATGTCCGCTAGGCGTTTAGAAATGCTATAGTCTGTGATCTTGATGGTGCCCTTTGCGTCCACCAAGACGTTGGATGTGCTCAGAACCTTGTGCACCACAGAACTGCTGTGCAGGTACTCGAGGCCGGCCAGGAGCTGAGACGCATACCTGCGAAGCTGATGTACGGGGATGGGTCCCGAGTGGCTCAGGTGTGTGGCGAGTGACTCTCCACTGACATGCTCCACTAAAATGCTCACCACCATGGAGTTCTCTTGCTCTTTGAGGTTCATTGCGATATAGCGCACTATGTTTGGATGACTCAATTTCACCAGGGAGTTGAATTCTGCTTCTGCTCCTTGAATCTGATGTAAGGGAGAGAACAAGATAAAATTGGTCGAGCAACTGAACTGTTACTTCACTTCAAAAGTGAAGTATGGGAAGAAAATGTATTTCAAAAGAGAAGAGGATGAATATGAGTTCTCTCTAAATCTGTAAAAATCTGAAAAAAAAAAATCCAGTTTATTCTCAACTTCTTTTCTCTCAAAATCTAGCCTAGAAATACTAGGGGAAAAAGTGAATAGTTCTAAAAAGTCATTTCTTTTGTGACATGACCACTAGAAAAAAAAAGAAGAAACCCTATTTTTAAAGAACTTTTTCAGATCTGTTCACAGGGTCACTATGAGCCATAGTCTACTTGATGGCACCTAACAACAGACTTATTGTAAAAAATATAAAGGGGGGAAAACCCTCTAAATTATCTGTATCGTCACTACCCCAAAATAACCATTATGATTTTGTTTTATTTACTTCCAGTTTTTCTTTCTCTATATACTCACTTCTTTTTATTCCTTTTTAAAAATTTTTATTAATTTTAATGAAAGTTTATAGAGACTTTGGATTTCCATTCATTCATTGTTACACTTTTCTCCCTGCCCAACCACCCCCTACCCACTTCGCTCTGCTCTTTGAAAAGTAAAAGAAAAATTCCTTCATTGCTATACAATCCCTCACCCCAAGTCCACTCCACTGTGCAGCCTTCGTTCTAAATATAGTGCTTTACTTATGGCTTTGTAAAGTTTAGTTACTTAACACCACAGTAGACAATATTAAATGGTTTCCTTAAGCTCTGTATTATGATTTACTTTAAGATTTCGCAGGCTTTCAAAACTGTTTTGAAGCAATGTTTCAAGAGTGGAGGAAATAGAAAAGAGTACAAAAAGCACAATTATGCAATACTAATTAGTTGCATTAGGGAGCTCTGGTGGTTTAATGGTAAGGAGTTGTGCTGCCAACTCAAATGAACATAGTTTGAATCTACCAGCTGCTCTGAAAGAGAAAAATGGCAATCTACTCCTGTGTGATTTACTGCCTCTTAAAACCTGCTAGAAGGTCAGCTATGAGTTGATTCCAACATGATGGTAATACAATTAGTCCCATTGGAAAGATAGTTGTTAATGCCATGATAAAGCTCATTGACACGGAGTTAGAATCAACTCGTAGCTGGTCCTCCTTTGAATTTCACAGGCTATAAATCACACAAGAGGAAATTGCCCACCTTTCTCCCATGGAACCACTAGTGGATTTGAATTACCAGAGAAGCACATTCTCTTAATGCCATACTGAGCACTGAAAAGAGATTAGGAAGGCAGCTACAAATGTTTTGACCATGCATTCTGTGAAAGTCCTGAAAGCAGCAGCAGTGGGTTAAGAGAACTTGGAGAGAAAAAGCTCTGTGCTCTAAATATCTCACAACAATGATTCAGGGTAGGAGATCTAATCAAATGCTGAGCTAGTTTGATTTTTCATCTCCTGGAGTTTCACAAGGAGCCCTGGTGGCATAATGGGTTGTGTCAGGCTGCCAATGGGAAAATTGGTGGTTTAAACCTACCAGCTAATCTCAGACAGAAAGATGAGGCAGTCTGCTCTTGTAGAGAAAAACCCAACGGGGAAGTTCTACTTTGTCCTACTGGGTCACTGCAAATTGGAATGGACTCAACAGCTGTGAGAACTGAGTGAGAGCTTCAGAACTGGACCTTCTGCTCAACTACGTGACACCCACCTGCTTTTTGCATTTTTCAATCTTTTCTTTTTCTTGATTGGTAAGAAAAGGAGTCTTTTTTTTTTGCCACCGAAGAACCCATTCATACAAGAATACAAAACTGCCAGAGGCTGTTTCCAAAGCATTGTAGATAAGCTTTCCAAGCTGCTCATCACTGCCTGTATATTAAACAGAAAATGTAATTAAATCTCACTGGTGCATTTTCTATGGGGGGTGAGGGGGCGACACAATGAAAACTACTATTTTATGTGGCATATGGTCTTTTATAATCAATTTTGATATTTGACAATATATCCTAAGACATTCATTTTTATAAGGGACAAGAATCATCAATGAGATTTTAATATATCAATCCAAATACCTAGTGTTTTCTTAGGTTGTTGTTAAGTGCTGTCGAGTACAACTCACAGTGACCTTATGAACAACAGATCTGAACCCTGTTCTATCCTGTGCCATGCTTATCATCATGCCAACACCTCTGAGCCCACTGCAGCCGACACTGTATCAATCCACCTCATTGAGGGGTTTCTTCTCCACTGATCCTCTACCTTTCCAAGCATGATGTCCCTTTCTAAGGACTTCTGACATGTCCAAAATATATGAGATGCAGTTTCACCATCTTTGCCATCAAGGAGTACTTGGGTTGCACTTTCTCCAGAGTACATCTTTTGGTTCTTTTGGAAATCCATGGGATATTCAGCACTCTTTTCTAACTCAGATGTATTGATTCTTCTGTCATCTTCATTCACCATCTAACTCAAAATTAAGTGTTCCGGAATTTCTATTCTTCTTATACTAGCAATTATTTATACTGTTAATTTAATAACCAAGTCCTATGTGATGACTGCCTATTAATACAATAATGTTAATGGCACACAATAAAACACCAATTAAAATGACAGACTTGGAAATGGAGAACTCTCCGTCAAGATTACTGTTTCAGTGCAGATTAGTGTACATTTTGAAATTTGAATATACCAATGGCTTTCTAAATACAAAATTTGAATATATTCAATGACCCAGCTATTTCACTGCTTGGGGTATACTCTGAGAGAAATGAGAACTGAGGCACAAATGGAGACCTGTACACCAATGTTCACAACAGCATTATTCACCATCGCAAGAACATGGAAACAGCCCAAATGTCCAACCACAACTGAATGGATTGAGAAATGATAGCACATTCATATGGTAGAATACTAAACAGCACACAGTAATTTTGTAAATTACTACCCAACTTGGGAGGGACTGGAGCGCCTTATGCTAAGTGAACTAACTCAGTTCTATAAGGACAAATATCGTATGAGTCCATTATTCTAGAATGAGTATGAAGGCCCAACAAGGAAGAGAATGGGAGCAGAGGGATGAGGATGGGCTGGGGCGGGGGGCATTAATTATAGGGTCACACAGTTTGATGGGCAGAAGGAGAGGGAAGTGAAGGAAATGGGAACGATCTAGGGTGAAAAACAATGTATATGAACTGTGTAAATAAACCAGTATAAAATAAACTTTTTTTAAAAAATGAAAACAAATTACTTGAATATGTTCAGTAAGTACCAACTGGACAATGGTTTCAAAGGAAGGAAGTGAAATTTACAGTTTAAATTTGAAGTTAGTGTCAATGATGTATTCTTGTTGGAACTGAATGTAAGTGATAGAACGTAAATATTCATCACTACCACTGAGACGAAAAAAAAAAAAAAAGAAAAAAAATAAATTTGAAGTTAGGAACACAGACACATTTTAATGAGACTGCCTATTCTTCTTCCAAAGAGCATCTGGTGGATTCAAACCACATACCTTTGGGATTTCAGTGCAGTTTCTTACTAAGAGGCCACCAGGGCTCCCTCTCAAAATAGGAGTAGGTAGGAATTTCTTAATTGCCAAGCTTTTAGGAGTACAGTAATTTTATTAATTCTAATCTTTTGTCCTTTTGCATGTTAGGGATAATAAAAAGGATCAAAAAAAACCAAACCACACTGCAATAAGACTAAAAAAAAATTTACTACCAAAAAGACACACTTACTGATAGTCAATTATACACAGTGATATAAAGATATTCTCTATAGTGCTTTATCCATATCCATTCTGTAAGTTTTTTCTTCTAGTTCAAACAGCCATAAACAGAAACAAAAATTATTTAGCTGATATTTTACAAAAAATTGTTTCAGGAAAAACAGTGTATAATTTAAAAACTAGACCCCTCTATGAGAAAAAAAAATTACTTGTATAGAAAAATTCTCAAACTGTAAGTGTATGCCCTAAAGAGGGTATTAACCAAGGTGAATTTTGGTAATTAGTACCAGGGAGGATATGAGACTGAATCAAGGTAATAAGCAGTTGAATTAATTTGCTTTTCTCATTTCCCCAGATTATTGTAAAGTACTGAGTTTTATGCTATCAATTCCATGAATCTGAAATGTCTCTGGAAGCAAGAACAGTCTCTGATCCAAAGACATTGTCCCCTCTTCCAATGCCTTGAATTGTCCAAATGGCAGCTTTGTGTATGTTCTGGCAGGCTCTGTGTATGTTCCTGTACTGTCCAGGTCACATTTAGTTAGCCAGGGCTCAGGGCCCCATTCACAGACTAATCAGATGTTCACGTTTTTCTTCCTCTGCTCTCTGCCTGCTATCTGGTGAATCCTGCTTATTTGTATGTTATTAAAGAGGAAGGGAAAAAAGATGCCCAAAGAAAGCAAACTCAATTTAGACAATGTGTCTGGTAGCTCTCACAAAAATATTCACAGAATGAAAAGTAAACTTAAATATAAAATTTAACATAAGCAAGTGATTTCTACCAATTAGTGGTTATATCTCTATGGTAGATAAAAGGTCATGTAAGTTTAGAGAAAAAGAAGTAGACAGTGAAAACCTGATTTGAATATGAGCCATTAAAATCCTGAATTGCTAAACAAACTTTACTATAAATAGCTATGAGTAGAGAAAGCTGCTTAAAAGAAAATGTGCAGAAAATAAAGTGGTTTTCTTGGTCAGATACAACATAGCAAACAGGAAAATATTAAGGAGATAGATAATCAACTTAAAAAAATTAGACCTGGTTATTAAAGATAATAGGAATTGGAATTTTCTTTGTTATACATATTTTATCAGCAACAGATGTACAAGATGCAAACAAACATCTTATGATGCACATTCAGTCAATTTTGTTTTTCCAAAAGACAAGGATTATAACAACTGTAACAAGAAAAACTTTTAAAACTTAGTAAATAAAAAACAATTTAGTAAATACATAGGTAAGGAGAAGATATCTGTGGTAAATATATAGGCAAGAAAATACATTTGCACATGTATGGTTTAGTGACACTAATTATATTCACCATGTTCAAACATTGACTTTTCTTCCCTTTTTCTATCATTCTTGGAAAAGGACATCATATTTAGAAAGTTAAGAGAAAAGAAGACCCTGGGCAAGATGGATTGGTACAGTGACTGTGGCATTGGATTAATGTAAACAAGAGATATGAAATATGCCCTATTTCTGTGCCATGCTTATCATCTCCGATACACTTGAACCCACCACTACTGTTATTTCCAGGATCACTAGGAGTTGCAACTGACTCAATAGCACATAACAACAACTTAAGAGAAGCTCAATGTCTCTTAAATATGAAAACAGTGACAAATGTATTTTAATTTAGTAAATTTACTAAATATTTACTAGTAAGTAGTAAATATTTACTAAATGATCTCCAGGCTAGCAAGAGGAATTCTGATTGGATGGTCTGTAGTGTGCTGTGCTGCAAAACAAAAGACTGTGTATATGAAAAAAAAAGGACTGTGTATCTGCAGTGGTTCAAATTCACCAGCAGCTAAGAGAGAAAAGTGGGCAATTCCACTCCTGTTAACATTTACAGCCACAGTAATCCAATTAAGGATTGCTTTGAGTCAGAATCGACTTGATGCCAATGAATTTGGTTTTGAGTTTATACTATTTCCAAGAACATAGATATTTACTTCTATCTCACAGACAGGGAAACCTTAATGAGTTCTTATTCTGACCATAAGGCATGGGGATTAGAAAGGCTGGCTACGGGTATGGTGATCTTTCTTGGACTGTCTTGGTCTATATGATATTCTCTAGACTGCTCTGTTATTGTTGTTGTTGATTGTCATCAAGTTGAGTATGACTCATAGTGACTCCATGAACAAAAGACCTAATGCCTTTTCATAACTATCATCATTTATCCAAGTTCATAGAGTTTCCAGAGGTATGTGGTTTAGGAAGTGGATGCCCCTCCTGCTGCCAAACCTGTTTTACAACTGGAGCTCCCCCAAACACTGTCCACAATGGGGAAACCATTATGGTATTTGATACCCCAATGGCACAAGGTTCAGCATCACAGCAAATCCAGGTTACTTTATACCACACATTGACAAAGAGTGATGTGCAAAGTGGAAGGGTTCCTCCAGATATACTAGTACTAATCTCATTTAGCAGTGGTTAAGTGTTGCTCTGCACAAAAGACTGTTCTATAATTAACATCATTTCTGTACATTTATGAGAGTTTGTAGAGTTTCCAGAGGCATCTAGTTTAGCAAGTGGATGCCACTCCAGCTTCCCATGAATCAATCTGGGAGCTCATGCAAATATTGTACATGATGGGTAACCATTATGGTATTTGACATGACTGTGGAACAATGTTCAGCATCACGGCGACTCCTAGTTGTTCAGTAGAGTAAACATACAAATGACAGCTGTGTCTTTTAAAGAGTATTCATTCTAAAATTAAATACTACAGTAATTTAAAGACACACCTTTAAGCAGGCCTCCACTCTTGGTGACACATCAAACATGACCCCAAAAACTTCCTTTACGTGACCATCATCAAGATGAGACCACCATCAAGATGCCAGCTAGCAGCCAACTCCTAGAGTGGAGGGAGACTCTAAGTCCCCAGTCCAGACCATAGACTCATTGCTTCATTAATGTACATTAATGCCACACCCTCTAGCAGGCCTCCACCTTTGGTCAAAGGTTCAATGGTCACCCACTTTTGGGGGGGGGGGTAAAAAAGAACAGTAACTCACAACAAACATGGCCCCAGAAACTTCCCTTATGGACCGCCACCAAGACGAGACCACCATTGAGATGCCACCTAGCAGCCAACTCCTCTGTTATTAGAATAAACTAATTTAGCTTGTTTACTCACCAATGCATTTTCCTTTGTGTACCATGAGTTGGTCAGGATTCCCCACAGAGAAATACAGGATTTCACAAGTGCCAGGAGACTCTTCACTATTACACACAGAATACTGACGTTCTCGCCTTCAAAGAAATAGGGACAATAATATTTTTTTTTGTCTTTAAGATTAACAAGAGAAATCCTTCTGCCACCATTCTTTTCCTGTTTGTTACCCCATTCAAAATCTAACAGTTTATCTCTGCAGGGAACTGGGTTTAAAGTGTTAATGAGAAAGGTGTTCAACTCCCCACTGTCTTCACCATAGAGACTGTATAAACCCCTAAACTTCAGATCTGTGCTGTCCAATACGTGCCAGTAAGCCTTACGTGAATAATTGACAGAAAAAAAAGAAAATGGAAAATTCAGTTCCTTAATTGGAGTAACTACAATGACTAGTGATTATTATTTGGATAGCAACAATTTAGAACACCTCCATCATTTCAGAAACTCCTACTGGGTAGCAGTGATTTAGATAATTCCCACATTGATTTCTCACATCTCTTCACTCCCACACACATACTTATCTGCAGAAAGTGATGAACTTTTCCAAGGCTATAAATTTTAACTGGAGCTGATGGCCTCATCTTTCTTCCACAGAGCAGTTGGCAGACTTGAATCACTGACGTTTGGCTAGCAGTCTAACACATAACATACTACACCACCAGGGCTCCTTAGGGGGTATGGAGGTTGTCACAAATTCTTAATTTCCAGTTGGGTCCTCAATCATAGAATGCACATTCATTCTTTCACTTGTCTGATAATTTTCCCATGCAAGACTTCCCTCTCTCTGGTTCTACGTATGTGTATGTGTGCGTGTGTATGAGAGACAATATCTGGGAAGGCAGGTTATAAAGTTTAAATAAAGGGAGCTCTGGTGGCCTAGTGGCAAAAATCTGGCTGAAATCCCGAAGGTGGATGGTTTGAATCCACCAGATGCTCTGCTGGAGAAGGAGGGGCAATCTCCTCCTGTGCCAGTCAGATCTGATTCGATGGCACACAATGACAATAAATAAATAAATATATAAGAAAAAAATATGCTAAAATAAATTAAGGGAGGTAAGCTGCAAAGAAAAGCAAAGGGAGAGAGGTTTTCATGGTCAGAATTGGATCCTTCGAAGAAATGTTTTGATAAAGTGAGTGGACAGAGCTCTCTCTAGACAGCGTCCTACTCACTCTAAGCATGACCCCGTCTTTCATTTTCATTAAAAACATTAGGTAATTAGATGTGAAGCCCACATCTTTGATGGCTCCTCCTACAAATCACTGACATCTGCATCCTTCTTTCCTTCCTTCCCTCCCTCCTTCTTCTCTCCTCTCCTCTCCCCTCTCT